AGTAACTACTGTAATATCTCTATTATATAATAAACCTGCATAGATACAAAGCTTTATTCGCACTCGAAGTAAAGTATATAACCAGTTATAATATTTAGTATATTAGCTTATATTACTTTAATACATACTGGATCTGATTATTAATAGTAGCAAAGATTTATTAATCTATAAAGATAATAGAAGCACTATAATTCCCACCTCAAGAGGGTACTTATATATCTCCCGTAATTGTATGGAATGTTTATTTAATTTTATTTTATTTTATTTTCTTTTCTTTTGTCAAGATGTTGTTACATTAAAGCAAACGGCGGTGTAGTAGATTTGACCTGTCCAAGGTTTCCACGCTTGTAAACATAGTAGTGCGTCAAGAGTATTGCAACACTTGATGCAAAGCGTACCGCGTGTCACGGCGCCTGCCTGCCTGCCTGTCTGAATAAGCTTATATATGTGAGTGCAGTACAAAGTTTTGTCTTTGTATCCTAGTCTTTTGCTGATAGCGCCGCGGTTAAAGCTCCTGAATGCGCCCGGGAGCCGCCCCGTGTGACACTTTGAGAGTTATAGTAAAGGGATTCTTCTACGTATTATTAGTATACCAGTTCCCAATATTCGGCTCGTTGACCGGTTTCTATGCCGCTAATCGGTTGGCATAGCAGAACAACATTCTACTACTATATTAATTTATAGTTATATATTTAATTACTATAATTTAATCTACTTTAGTATATAGCCAACTATAGTTAAAGAGGTTAATGAAGGAATTTTATACTTCGTACCTTAATCTTATTAAGGTTAGTTAGGTTAGGTTTATAGCTCTAGAGTTGATCGGTAGATAGTTAACCACACAACGTTAAATTATTAGATAACTTTAGTAGTATTTATACTCTATAACTAGACCTTCTAGTAGGACAGCGCGTTACTTGGTAAATATTTCAGATCTAGGCCTTTTATTTACCCTAATCTTGGTGGTGTGGTAGGCGCTTGAAATAATGGTGGTCTTTTGACGCGGTACGCGTCGCGCCATGTATTGCAATACTCTTGCCCCATTGTTGTATGTTAGACGCGAGGGGGTTATATTAGCGGAATGGGTGAAGTTTAGATAGGTTCAGGCAGTTTCAGAGAAAGGAGGGTGAACGGGGTGAAAATAAAGCATCAGAATTGCTCAAATAAAAAAAGAAAAGAAAAGACATACAACAGGAGGGATTCGCTGGTGGTCACCCACCCAACTACTAACCTCCCGGCGTGTGGCTTAAGTACGGCTGAGCGGACGGGAAGCCCTGTTCTCCACACCCTATGGTCGTATGTACTAGATTATCCTAAGAGCTGGCTTATAAAGTGCTAAATGTTATTGTCTCTCGTCCGTACACGGTGAAGGTTAACCATCTGTATGCGTCCATATCATGCGAGATCATGAAGCAATTGGGTCATCAATGGGGACCCTCCCTCCCGACCCCTAAAAAATCTGCGGGAAGGAATACTTTTCACGCCAGGATGTCTTGATAGATGAAGAGTATGTCCAGCTACAATTGAAGAGAGAGATAGTTTGCTTTATAGAATCAATAGGTGCTATATTTACTATACCTTGTTCTTATATAATTCGCAGGTTTCGTTTATACAACTGTTCATTCACTATTGTCAACAGTTAAGCTTACTATGGTCACATCTGCCTATTCCTTTTGAAACTTGCAACTAAATGCCCACACCATATATAACACCCAATAATGGCTTATCTACGATCGTAACGCTGAGCTGATCCATCTCTGCACCTGAGCCTAATACCTAGCGGATCACTTGGTATACTGGATCGGGCAGGGTTTCGAAGCATACTCACTAATTGTTTCAAGACACAAGCACATAAACATAACTATCACCAGAATCCGGATATCTCCCTGCAACCATCGAGTCAACCGGTTGGAGCTTCCGCCATGGAAATGCCACAGTAACTGGGTAGCATCTAGGATACTGCGTCGGCCACGCTAGACAACTACCCCTTCCCCACGGTGATCTCCACTGGTGGCGATCAATACGCCTTCTTGGGGTACTTGATGCCCCAGAATAATTATACCCAGCGAGTTGATCCCACGATAGATGAGTCGTGGGATCCTTTCATAGCGTACGTTCTTGTAGAGCACATGGGGTTTGGCTTATTGTAGCCAAGTTAGCACTCTGTATATTGTGCCAAATTGTCGACACACTAGTCTGGAATATACTTTATAACCATAATCTCGACCTTACTTTTATCCCTTGACAAAGAACCATTCCAAGGTTTCGCGTACTTTTCCTTAATCTTATTTTCCCTCGTATCACAAGCTGGGTGGCTGCAAAACCAAGAAACTACGCAGCTTTAATTGTTAACTACATATGATAATACAGTTAAGGCATCCTCACGTCAGCTTAATCATACATTAAACGTGTATTAAATTCAATGGACGATTTTAAGTCACGCCATGTACGCTTCATTGGATAATGATGTGGTTTATTCCGTGCGGTACCGTGGATCTAAGGTTGATGATGATGATGATTCGATGACAGGTTCGTATCCGATAGAGGTCAATGCCATCACCACCAGCATCTGCAGACTTTAGTCGAAATCTAGATCCCTTTTAGTGATCATGAGACTAAGGAGAGCTGAAACTGAGTTTATAGATAAATACCTATTACTGTGCAATCTACCTTCTGTGAGACGTGTTCGTTTCATCAAGTACAACAGAAAGCTATTAAATGCACATAATACAATGTCGGATATTACCCGTTGTTCAAGTAAACGGCTTATTATTTGCTGTGATGGTATGTCTTCACTGTATCGTACTAAAATGGTTATTAATGTCTTCTTCTACAGGAACCTGGCAAGACTCAACAGCAGACTCGAGCAAGCCTGCTTCCAACGTAACGCGGTTCAGCAGAGCGTTAAGCCCGATTGCGATTGTCGAGAAAATTGGTCAGAAACACGAAATCCCCCAGATTGTTTACTATCAAAAAGGTGTCGGGACTGGCCTGGGAGATAAATATTGGGGTGGTATGTCTGAGCGCCTTCACTTGCCTCCTTCACGAAGAAGTTCCGCCTTTTCTTTAATTTTCTTTATTTTATTCGATTTTATTTTATTTATCGGTAGTTCTCAATTGCATATTAGCAAGTCTAATAATTACAATCTACAGGCGTAGCAGGCTTAGGTCTAAGCGCCAACGTCCGCGCAGCATACGGCTTCCTGGTCGACAACTACAACGAAGGCGACAAGATCTACTTCTTTGGCTTCTCACGCGGTGCATACACGGCACGCGCTGTAGCAGGGCTAGTCTGCCAATGGGGTTTACTAACACGACGAGGGATGGACAACTTCCCGACCGTGTACGATGATTTTTACCAAAAGAAAGCAGACGATTATACACCCGAGCTGCGACGAGCACTCGGCTTCCGAGATCCACTGCCTCGGTTTACGGTGGAGATCATCGGGGTTTGGGACACGGTCGCATTCCACCAGACATGGTTAGGGGCTTGCGTGGGTGAGAAGCTCGAGTTCCGGAATACGATTCTCTCCGAGAATGTAAGGTATGCGTTTCATGCGTTGGCGCTCGATGAGGAGCGAACGGCGTACCAGCCGACGTTATGGAATCTTCCAAACAAGAGCCACGGACAAGAACTGTTGCAGGTTTGGTTCTCGGGGGTGCATACGGATGTTGGGGGTGGGGGAGATGATCCGCGACTTTCGAATATTACGTTGGCGTGGATGATAGCGCAGTGTATGAAGGATGAGCAGTTGAGTTTTGATATTGAGGGATATTTGTTTGACTTACCTCCCTGTCCGATGGAGAAGGAGATCGCATCGTGGGCGACAAGTTTGGGTAAGACAGAGAAATGGAGTTTCACGCGGTCTCTGGAGGGGATTCTGGGTGGTATTTCGAGACGGACCCCTCTTGCTTATAAGCCTGTTGATTCGGGGATCACTAATGAGATGATTCATACCTCGATTGATGATCGGAACTTGGCCGGCGCTGAGAAATGGCCTTGTTCTGCGTTGAAGGCACGCAAGGATCCTGATAGTTGGTTTCTAGCGGACGGTAGAGTCATTGTTGAAACGCCGTTATTGAAGATGGAGGACTATATGAAAGGACGGATTCGAACTGTGCATGTTGATCAGCAGGATTAGTTGATGATCAATTGGTATTTTTATTTAATCAATCTTGTATAATCATATTCAGACTATGCTTCCATATGATACCGAGAACATATCATATACATTCAGTGATCTATAAATAACTTCCCCTAAACTAGTATTTTAGTGATAGATGAGGTGGAAATAAACCTTCCAGTTACAGCCCCCTTTGATATTATTTGGGTAGGAGGAATTATGCATTAGGAGGCCATCCAAATGAATGTGTATAAATAGTAAAGAGGATATTTCCATTAATATCCCATATGGCACTATTTCCACATAGAACTCCAAGAGCCCGACTAAGAACGGCGTCCGACCCACTCACAATTGGAAAGCAGAGAATCGACCCCGTCTAGAATACAATTAACCGATTAGGGCCGGCATCCCCATCCGAGATTCGAATTCTGGTTGGTTCTGGTTTATGGGTTGACGGGTGGTCAGTCCATGGAACCGTGCGGATATCCCTGTTAGAATTGACAGAGTAACCCATACTTTTGACGAGAACAATATGTTTCCATTGGTGAGTCTGTGAGGGGAATCTCCAGGGTCAGGGGTATTCATGCAGGTACGTACGTGTCTCTGAGAAATCAGATCGCAAACCCCCATTCTGATTGGTCATAACCACCCCACCAATTAGGATATGCCGTGGATTCGATTGACCCAATCTGCAACAATTCTATCTTTAGATCCAATCGGCTTTCGGTAGTACCTGAACAAGCTCCGGCTAGCCAGTCAAATCCAACGCGCAAAGATCCACCAAGACCCACAGTCAGTCTAGAACCATATCGATTTTTGCCTCCATCATTTTCTTAATCTTTGTGTGCTTCTTCTATTCCTTATTCCTCTCCTTCTGCTGCTTCTGCTTCTTTTCCCTCTTTCTTCCATCTTCATCCCCTTCTCTCTTTTTACTACAGCTCTCTCTTGAACTTGTTGTTTTTTTGTCTTCAAGTTTGTTCCTTCTTTTTAGTCCTACTGTGACTTTCCTTTTGTTTTTTAGAACCATTCTACAGTCTTTACTCAATTCCTCATCAAAATGCAATTGACACACCTTCTTGCCTTCGCCCTGTCGCTCGCTACGTCCGAGGCCGCCTACAAGGGCTTCAATTATGGTGCTACCAAGTCTGATGGCAGCGTCAAGTCTCAGTCCGATTTCGAATCGGAGTTCTCGACCGCTAAAGGTCTGGTTGGCACTTCGGGCTTCACCAGTGCTAGATTGTACACCATGATCGTGAGTGACGTGATCATCAAGCAGGAAGCGGAACCCGTGTGCTGACTATCATGTAGCAAGGTGGTACTACCAACTCCCCCATTTCCGCCATCCCCGCGGCCATTGCTGAAAACACCTCCCTGTTACTGGGTCTTTGGGCCTCTGGTGGTGGTATGGACAACGAGTTGGCTGCCCTCAAGTCGGCCATCTCCCAATACGGTGACTCCTTCGCCAAACTGGTCGTGGGTATTTCTGTTGGTAGTGAAGATCTCTACCGTGCCTCTTCGGAGGGTGAGAAAGTGAATGCCGGCATTGGAGTTGGCCCCGACGCCCTTGTCTCGTATATCAAGGAGGTCCGGTCCATCATCTCTGGCACCGCCCTGAGCAGCGTCCCCATTGGTCACGTCGACACTTGGACCGCCTGGACCAACGGCTCCAATTCGGCCGTCATTGACGCTGTCGACTGGTTGGGTTTTGACGGCTACCCTTACTTCCAGAGCTCCATGTCCAACTCCATCTCGGATGCCAAGGCTCTCTTCGATTCCTCTGTGGCTCAGACGAAGGCTGTCGCTAATGGCAAGGAGGTTTGGATCACCGAGACCGGATGGCCCGTCAGCGGAAGCACTCAGAACCTCGCCGTCGCTTCCGTCGCCAACGCGAAGACCTTCTGGGATGAGGTGGGATGCCCCTTGTTCGACGAGACCAACACCTGGTGGTACATCCTTCAGGACGCCAGTCCCACCACCCCTAACCCCAGCTTCGGTGTGGTCGGCAGCACTCTGAGCACCACCCCGTTGTTCGACTTGTCTTGCTCTAACAGCACTCGCCCATCTACATCCGCTTCTAGCTCCGCTGCTAGCTCGGCTATTCCTTCTGGCTCTGCTGTTCCTTCTGGCTCTGCTGTTCCTTCTGGCTCTGCTGTTCCCTCTGGCTCTGCTGTTCCCTCTGGCTCTGTGAGCCCTTCGTCGTCCGGAATCGCTGCTAGTGTCACTCCCTCTGCCACACCCAGCTTCACGGTCGGCAAGGGATTCCATCCATCCAACTCCTCCGCTGCTGCCCACTACTCCAGCGCTTCGGTCAGCGGCTCGGCCTTCCCTAAATTCACCAAGACCGCCAGCGCATCCTCGTCTGCTTCGACCAACGCTGGTAGCTCTTCTGACTCTAAGTCGACCAACTCTGGCAGCTCCTCTTCTGGCTCTTCGTCGACCAACTCTGACAGCTCCTCTTCTCCCTCTTCTTCCACTCTTGCCACGGGTGGTGCCAGCTCCGTCTCGAGTTCCATCTTCGGTGCTCTGGTTGCTGTCTTTGCATTCGTGGTTACTTTGTAAGAAACAGCCTTGGTCATGATCCCGATCGATAGCTAGATGCAGACAACCCTCGGCTCTATTTACAGTTGGCGGTTTTTTTAAAGTATATATATATATTCGCTCGTTCTTTTTGTCAAGGAGAGAAAGTTCCACATATACACTAGCAATGTTGTTGTGAATAGACTTGTTTGTTTTGGCCCTCACCTTGCACTTTTGCGCCTCCATTCTTGATGTGTATTATTAGACTAGATTGATTAGACTTCTTCTGCTGGCTCGAAGAGTAAAATGAATATGGACATGAACATGAATTCGCATTGTCGGTGGTGATCTTTCTAGTGACCTTTCCCTCACATGTATCACTTTGCAACCGCAGAATTTGAAATCCATCACCCACCGCCAGGGATTGAATGTACCCGGATAGAACCATGGAACATTTACTTTCAACATCTCCGATCTAACAAGTTGTAACAATGTTGGAGTAGATGGTGACTACTTGCGACAAAAGATATAGCCAATCCCATGTATAAATAGCTGTCCATGCTAATGTGGCATTAAAATATACGACCAAAAAAAAAAAAAAAATTTGCGGTTCGAAATAGACCCTATGCACGGAGTACATATGGATAGATATATTCTGCTTAAGAATATGAACCAAGATGATCCCAGGCGTCTATATTGAATTAGATGTATCATATTCAGTTAGCATCCATCACAAACTAATAGCTGAAAAATATAAATTACCACACATTGCAAATACCCACAGAGTTTCGAATTTACCGTACAACCATTAAACTAGTCGGTGACTTCGCAAATATGTAAGTAACTTACTCGTAATCCGGAATAGCCGAGTCCACCCACTTGGCCAACTTCAAAGCATCAGCCGCACCGAATTCAGCTCGCCACTCTACCATTTCACGGCCATATCCTTCGCTTTTAGGTTGGTAGCCTAAGGGCGACGGGACTTCAGGCAACTGAATTTACCATGGGGATCCAATGCTACTTTCCGATTTACGAACGTGCTGTGTCTTTGCGGGGGACATGTTCCTTGACGACCATTGTTTATACTGCTCCCTCTGCACCCAGGACAAACTGTTGAAATATGGCGGCTCACTGGTCGAGCTGAGATCGTAATGCGTGTTTCTCAATTTCATCCCATTTAGCATAGCTCTTCTCTAAGAGACGGAGCTCTCGTGGACCCTTGACGTCAGGAAGAAGTAGCCACCACCTTTTTCCAGACAACATTGGGCTGGTTTGGTAAATTCAGAATTCACATGAGCAGACTGGATGCTGTTCGAGGGTAGGTGAGAATATATAAGCGTTTGAAGGCGTGCACTGGAGCTCTGGCTGAACGCTCGGGTCTTGAGGCACCAGATAAAGGGTACTTTTGGTATAGTGTTGTAAGGTGCAAAACGATTGTGTTGATCTCTGTGGGTATATTTGTATATCATTCCGTTCTACGAGTTTTGCCAGCCGTATATATGATTAATATAAGGCAGTAATATAAAAGCCTATCGGTACCATACCATACCATACAGGTGCAGCTTCAGCTGAATGTCCTTCCCTAGAGCCTTTTCTTTTTCCTTTTTTTTTTTCTTTTTTGCTCTAGGTTTTATTTTGTTTATTCTTGCATGTGTGGGTATTGGCCATTGCCAAACTAGGCGCCTTTATTTGAAAAGATATGAACTGCAAGGAAGAGGAATCCCGTAGTCATCTGTCCCTGATATCTTATGGCTCCACTACGTAGATCGAGCTGATCGTTTGTGGAGTGGTTCGCTTACGGTTCGCGAGACTACAAGATTCGTAAAAAGGATATGATATAATACAACCAACACCACCACCACAGGGAACAGCACGATCTTTTCGCAGTAGAAGAAGCCGAGTGTTGAAGAGCTTAAAAGCGATTATCCGACTGATCAACGGGTTTTTAGTACTAGGTGGATCCAATTCAGATCGGCGCGAATTAGTTACAATACCGTAATTATATCGAAATACTAAAAACAAAATCTAGATCAATATTTTCATGAATTTATACGAAGCGACTCGGCCGCAATTAGGTCTTGAGTCTTGAGAGATATGTAGGTATACTACACAGTAATAGAGTGGCACACTCTACTCGGGTTTTCCAGGTTCGGGGCGGGTTTTAGCCCTAGAACCCGGAACCCTGAGCGGGTTCAGGTCGGGTCCAGCGGGGAACCTGTGCCAAATAGAGAAGGGCATGAGTAGCTAGCTGCCTTATCGTTGATAGCAGATTCCTCATCACTACTACTCAAGCTTTGTCTCTCAGCCTCTATCCAAAGCCGCGCTAATGTTACGATTCCTGCCAACAACCTGAGGGACTGCTCAACCTCAAGATGGGCCATCAAGAGCCAAGTTCCCGGGAGAGGTCGCTAATACTGAAGGGGGGTAAAGTAAATTTCCCGAAGCCGGCCGACAGTCTGAGTCATCTCGGACTTGTTCGCTGGCAAAAGATGATCATGCTTTCCGTGTCTACTTTTATTTGATAGAATACAACGAACTTGCTGCAAACTCCGAACACCTATTATGGCTTTATCTGCAGCAAATTCACGTCTGAGGATAATTGTCATAGGGGCCGGTCCTGCTGGTCTCTGCACGGCCACGGCCTTGAGGCAAGAGGGCCATAGTGTTACCGTTCTCGAGCGGCGACGAGATACACAGCCCCTTGGCCACGCCTTAGTAATCCAGCCAGCGGCGGTCAGGGCACTCCAGTACCTAAAAGGGGCAGACAAGGCTTTTAGCAGTGTTAGTGTTGACGCAGGGGCGCTACGCTGGTGGTCGTATAAGGATACCAAGCCCTTCGCGACCCCCGTACCAGCTGAAACCCTGTCACGTGCGGAACGGAGATTCCAAACTGACCGGCCCTCCGTACAAAATATACTACATGAGCTTGCAGTTGCCAATGGTGCCGAGCTTCTTTTCGGGAGAACTGTGCAAGGGGTTCAAGATCTCGGGGCAAAGCCAAGGCTTTGGACTACGGAGGGAGAAAAGTTTACCGCGGACTTAATTGTAGCAGCAGATGGTATGTCCGACCTTGGCATCATAGAAGCTGCGTTAAGTGTACTTATAACCGACCTACCTACCCTGATATAGGTATCAAATCTGCTACCCGCAAAATCCTCTTTCCAGCACGGGATGTCAACCCAATTCCATTGAGAGAGTCTATCTTCCTCACAGGCGCGCCCATCTCTCAGCTCGCCCAGGACCCTCGAATAGCGCCATGGCTCGAACCAGGAACCAAACATGGTATATTAGGGCCCGATCGGTTTGTTTTAAGTCGGCCCATGCACGGTGGTCTCCTCGGGGTGCAGTTTATTGACGTCGACCATGCGGATCCGGGCCCGGTGGATGGCAACTGGAATACGCCAGCCGATATTGGTTTACTCCGCACGCGTTTCTCTGATTTTAATATAACAACGAGAGCATTCTTAGAGCATATCCAGCACGCAGAGAAATGGCAGATGGCTACGGGGCCCGAGCTGGGCACGTGGCGAAGTGCTAGTGGTCGTATCGTGCTGCTCGGCGATGCAGCCCACGCCATGTTACCACATGCCGCCCAAGGTCTCAGCCAGGGAATTGAAGATGCTTTGAGTCTGGCTCGCATGCTGCGCTGGGCGTCGAAATCGGGCGGTAATGGTGTTGATATCCCGGTTATAACGAAGGCGTGGGTCAACTTACGTAAGCCGCGAGCCGACCTTTTCATGAAACAGTCCATAAGAAACGCAAAAATTTGGAGTCTACCAGATGGGCCGGAACAGGAGGCAAGGGACGAGAGGATAAGGCGGATGGGAACTCTCCCACCACCGAATCTCGACGGCGTGGAAATGGACATGGCGGCTGATCGGAACTCGCCACAATTTCTCAAATGGGCGAGGGATTATGATGTGGTACTAGAGGTACGTACCAGAGCACCGTGATCTGTGCAACGGGTCTTTCATTAACTTGTGGTCATACTAACGTTATTATGTTCTCGTTTCAGGGCGAGCGAGCAATGGAAAAGGTCTTATCGCGGTAAGGGGCTTCCCTCAGAAAGTCTTGCCCTATTCCGTAGCGCAGTGGACGTGATATATACGATCGGTTTAAACATAAAATTATCCGTCGCGGGATGGTACGGCTAGCATAATACCATTGCGACGACCCTAGCTCCATTAGTTTGGGTTGTGTTCTCACACATGCCCTTACTTACTCACAATTATCTTACAAACAATAGTAGCAACGCACGGTAAAACTAAAACAGAACAAACTATATAGACCAAACTATATAACAAACGCCAGCATGTAGTACGCCCCATCAAATTCAGAAAGATACCATGTTCTCAGTAATCAACTATGGGGGCCAGCCACACTTGGGGTAAGAAACACAGCTGTCAAGTCTATTCGGCATCCTCGAGAATTTCTTCTACGCTCGGTCCGAGATGAACGGTTGATTTCATCATAGTGACCCATTCGTTAATGTCGCGCAGGAATCGACGAGCAGTTCCAACTTGGATTCCTCGCTGAACGAAGCCAGAGTCCGAGTCTTCGAGGATCAACTCAAGATCTAGGCGATTTTCCAAGATTGACCTGGCATACTTTCCGGGAATCAGCTTTATATGCCTCGTCAGTGGCACGCGACTCCAGCCATTTTCAGTATTCCCTCACGGCTGTTTCACGATGTCCGGGAATCACAAGATGCTTGTCAGGTAAAGACCTGGGAAGGGATGAAGTAGCCGCTAAAGCACGCACTGTTTGTACTGGCAGAACATTGATACTGATCGGAGGATATGTTAATCCAGATGTTAAAGCATCGGCTTTTTTTTTTGGATTTTCTTCCCATCTGACTTTCCAGAACCACGTCTCGACGGATATCACCAGGAACGTTATCATGGCCCACACTATCAGGAAATCAGTGCCTTATCGATAGTCATGAAGTTACCTGGCAATAGTTCTCTCAGAACTAACGAAGTATCGCTTATGTGTCGACTGTAAAGTTGCTAGATCTACTGAGTGACAGCATATTTCCAGCCAGGATCTGTCTAGTCTGCGCTAGGTTCAAGCCTGCATTCGCTGCAAACACGGTATTCATTTCTTCGTTATCTCGATATATTCAATGAACTGCTTGGCAAGGCCAAGTCGACTCTCTGTCTCATCCTTATAGAGTTTATGTGCCAAATCCACAGAGGTCTGCAAGTACTGTCGGCGAAAGACAATCCACAGTGTCGTGTGCGGTCGTGGATAGAAGGGGTCATTTCTGTGAAACGCCTTGGCAGCTTGCTTGACACCTTCAAGATCCATAGAAATGGAACCACAAAGATCAAAATCTAGCATCCACAGGGTGTGATTTCCCAACACATTCGTCACGGCAGTGGTGCTGTCATCGTCCGAGGTTGACGGTGGAGCCAGAACAAATTCGATATCGTTCCCGTCAATCTCGCCCAGCCAATGCAGTGTGGCTAATGCTTCTCCCATCATGGCAGCATAGCATTCGATGTGATCGGAAGGAATCCCCAGTTCAACAATCTGATCCAGGTGGAGTGGATAGTTTTGCAGCGAAAAGCCTCTAAACCTTGAATTCACATTCATTGCCGTTCCGTAAGTTCGTGTGCGGCCAAGGTATGGCCTGATCAAGCAGGCTTGGTTGCTTGTACTAGACAGTATCTGGTTGCTGATTTCTGGAGGACAGTATCTCTCTACGAGAAGTGCCCTTACATTCTCAGGAAACGGTGGGATACGTTCGGAGGAGATGGCATTACAGGGTGAGTATCCGAGTGGGAAACGCGTGAGATTCTTGCGGGGTCAGGAAGCTGTAACATTGTGGGATGCGGACTTGAGGCTGTATGAGCTGATCCTGATTGCAGATCTTAGTGCGTGATAATTTGAGAAAAGTGTCAAGTGCTCGCTTGTGCATCACAAAGTCGTTTGCGAGTGACCGGGACGGCCCTCCATCCTCTCGTTTGATTGCAGGGCCGTCGAGACTTTTAGCCCAGACAGTGCCACAGGCTCCTGATCCGATCCTAATGTAGTTCGCGTGAGAATCTTGCTTGGTGGTCATGACAGTTCCAATGATTTTAGTGAGATGGTGGACGATATGAAAGTGTTCTTCGGGGAGTTACGAAGTAAACTGTGACTCATGGATGATCAAATACAAGCATCATTGTGTGTCATGTATGAACCTCGAGATTCTGTGGAACTGCTTGGTAAGCTATGTGGCCTAATCCTAATCCAAGGCCGTAATCCTTCACTCGAACTTCACCTCTTCTTCATTAGTTGTCGCCTAGTAAATTAATGCGATTCACAGCCCCGCGTGCATAGCCCCCACTGACAACTGGCCCTATTTATCTCACAGTTCAAAAGGTCTATAGACATCTCTTTTTTCACACAGAAACTTTACACCACTGTTGACAAGCGTACCTTAGACTCTTCCATACACATTTCCTGTTTCTAATTCAACAGAAGTGGACTCCGTATATAATAGGTTCTGATGATTCTAAGTTCGCCCACGCAGCTCTCCCAACAGACGCACACTCTATTCGTCTTCTAACATTCGAAGATACGGCGGCAACTGAGCCTCTCAGATTCACCTTAGAAGTGTACAAACTTTCAGATAAACCCGTGTACAATGCACTTTCTTACGAGTGGGGAAATGGCCCTATAATGAGCTTAGAGCCGAGTATCTGGTATTCCAAGAACCGTTTCTCCAATACTGGTTATTATTGGAGCGGCTGTTCGATCCCCATATTTACTTTTATATCCTGCCTCCATTAGGTCTATAGAAGATATACCTCGTACAGTCAGGTTGCTTAAAATATGAATGTGCATAAGAATATTCTCGACCAGACACCACATACTACTTTATGAAACCCCATCACTCTTCGACCCAACATAGGATGATATCAGCGATCGCGCCCGAGTGGGGCTTAGCACGATTTAGCGCTCCCACCCAGCAGTGCTATAAACAAGGCCATCCCCAATCGCCGACCTAAATCCCCTTGCACATCATACTCCCAGAATGTCCTCATGTAACTCAACCCCAGCCACCTCCCTACCCATAGATACATACTAAGGCGCCCTAATAGTCTTCTACACAGATGTCGATCGAGGCGCAAAGCACTACCAAATTCCCCATAGCCTTTCCCTTGATCAAACAATCGAGATACTACACAATCACCGCTTATTGGCCGAGCAGATCTGGCCGTTGATGACTGTCAAAGTCGTAGATAGCAATGTAGCTGCTACTACGGTCGCTGTTGAATCTGCTACTCTTAAATTCAAAGCCACATTTACCAATCTTGACAATGGTGTCTCCTTACAGGAGGAAATAGTTATGGGGTTTGGTGTTCAGGTTCAGTGGACCGTGGTTGATCGTTTCAGCCAAAATGTATCTTTACTGGTACAATTTCGCGAGGAGGATTTGCGTTCAGGTGCATTGTTGGAGGAAAATGTTCGTGCCTCGTGTCTCAGGGTTGTAGATCGGTTTCTGAATTTTGCGGATGAATTTAATCCGAAGACGAAGTTTCTTATTGAGTTTTTGGGAAAGGTGGCTAGTGGGGAGATATCGATGGATGATATTAAAATTATGAGTAGGGGATACGGCGACACTGAAAGACTTAAAAGAGGAGTGATTCATTTAGATCTGTTAGGGCTAATGTTCGGCCCGTCATAAGACTCCTCTCTTTGTCACGGGGTGGACTTCACCATGTGTATAAAGAGAAAAGCATACAGTGGTGGACATAGTAATGACCAGGGCTGATAATGAGGGGAAATAAACAAGAATAATTAAGAATAATACTCGCCAACAACAAGCCCATACACCACCATCTGAGGATACATCACAAGAATGGCCCTTCTCGCCTCCTCCACCTGTCCACCATCTACTACCAACCCCACATCCCAGAAAAGATCGATCTGATGGTACACCCAGAACCGACACCCTTGTCCCGCATCATTAAATTCATAAAGATGCCGTTTCTCCTTCACGAGCAAATCGACAAAATCGCTGACCTTCAAACCTCCCCGGACATCAAAGTTGTGCGACTTTAGTTGCTGTGCCTAAGCGGAGACCATCCACGCGACTGACAATGAGGATTCTTTTAGAGCCGCCACGATTAACCGTAGCAGGGATGGTATAGGAGGGTGTCATGTCTAAGCGGATGTAGCTGTTTCGCTGGTGGAGAGGTAGATGCTCCAGTGGTTCCCTCCTTGGGGGAGGGGCTCGTGAGCGACAGCGGAGAGGGTTAAGATGGGCAGGTTGAGGATTGCCTTCTTTACTTTAGAGGGGATGTATTGGATAGGGTTGAATGGATGCTGTTGGGTGTTCATGTTGCTGTATTGTGGTTTCTGGAGTAGGTTCTTTTTTTTTCGTTTTTTGGTGTTGAGCAGTAGAGTGGTAATATCGTACACTACAGTTATGTGTGAATCCCGGCGAAGGGTTCATCGGATCCGAATAGTCAGGTGAAGATAATCTGGGCGTCTGTGAGGGAAGACTGGAAAACGACCTGTGGTACGGAGTAGATCACAAGGCTGTCATCTGCTCTTGCCGTCGCGTAATATTGATTAGTCGGCAGTCAGCTGTGTGCTTATACTATAGAAATTCATGCTTTGCATGTCTAGCAATTATCAGTATATAAAGCGCGATATAGCTTACTAGTAGTATATTACAGGCATATTGCAGATTGAAGGGGTTGCGGGCTGGTTTTAATGTAAAGTTTGGCAGAAAACATGTAACGAGAAACAGCACGAAGATCGCCAAGACAAGATGAGCACTGTTTACTTGATTCAATCTCAGCGGTCAGACCGAAGCAAGAGAACGAAGAAGAAAAAACGGAATTATAAAAAGAAAACAAAAAAGAAGGACCAATCAAGTTCTAAGCGCCATTTGGCGCTGCTGGGAATCGAACCCAGGTCTGTTCGGGAATGTCCTAGAGGACCACAACGAACCGTACTGACCACTATACTACAGCACCTTGAATTGGTGATTGTTTGCTCTACTTATTGAAATATAAGGCACAAATTCCAAAAATTAGCCCTCCCCAATTTACATTCTTCAATATTGCAATAATCTTGAGGTGAGGTCTAAGAAATCGTTGGTTACAGGGAAATCGTACTCATATTCGTGATCAGCTAGGTCCGTTTTGCCAAGAACAGATTGTATCCGCCTTGTCTACGCATGGAATTAACGGTATGCGAATTGATGTGGTTTGCTGTTCACTAGATATATTGGAATATATATTGTGACTAGTGGCCATCCCTAGACATCTTAATCTTCAACTCCCAACTTGAGACTTTTCAAGCGCAATTGCTCCACCCAGACTGGTGGAATGACCGACGATGCACCTTTTCATGATATATTCCTTCAGGGCTGTTCGTATCAAGGCCAGAGTCAGCCAAGACGAAGATGCCGACGAATCGGCCCGCCGTGAGTCATGTCAACTACGACATCATTGGCTGTAAACACCGACGTGCAGATACGAAAGGATATGTAATGGAAAGATGCTAACCCAAGCAAGTCAATTCATAAGGGCTATGAATTATTACACCATTTCTATTTTTCCGTTCAGCAATATTGCCCTAATCAATATTCCGCAAGACGAATACATATCCTCTCAACGAACAATAAGCAACTCCCCCAAGAAAATAGACGAGCAAGATGCCAATACACATAGAACCCATTACCCAAGCCGACATCGCACGCATGGTTGACATCCAACAAATGGCAATGGGCGCTAGTGCCTTCTTCCGCAGTACGGGAGACGTACCGAACATAGACGGATCCCCGGAAGAGGTGTCGGCATCACCATGCAGGACCAACAAAATATCCCGAGTCTTGGATAACTGGGATAAAGACCCCACCTGCTATTTTCTGAAAGCTGTTGACGAAGGCTCCGGTGAGATGGTTGCGTTTGCCAAATGGCATATTTACCATGGGGAAGAGGGGTTGAAGAAATGGCGCGCTTCCGTGAGGACGGATGAGGGTATGAAGATTCCGCTTGGAGCAAACGAGGATGGCTTTCGATTTTGTAAGAGCAAATTATTGGAGAAACGGAAAGTATTCTTTGGAGAGGATGGAAGGGAGCATTGTTGTAAGTTCTGTGCACTGCTGCTTCCAGAACGGCTGTGTATTGATTGACAATGTAGTGCTGGCACTGCTGGCGACTGATCCCCGTTATGAGCGTCGTGGAGCAGCTTCTCTTCTGACACAATGGGGTTGTGATTTTGCCGATAGACTTGGAATTGGGTGCTATGTCGAGTCGTCGAAGAAGGGATACCCTGTATACAAGAGAAAGGGATTTGAAGATATATCGTCACAGGAAGACGAGAGTGTTATACATTTTGATGCTAGTAGTTTTACTGGTAGGGGAGGGAATGACGGTGACTGGGTGAACCTGGTCTGCATGGTGCGACAGCCAGGAAAGAGCGTATGTTAGGTTATTAAACCGGGCTTAGAAACAGCTTAGCCACTCAAGGAATGTGATATCTACCTAATAATAACATCCAAAACAACAGACTTCCGCTCTTCAACCACAACCCTAATCCCCTCCCTCAGCACCTCATCCAACTCCCGCACACTACGCACCCTCTGTGTCCACAAATTCCCATTAGCGGCAGCCCTCGCCACCTCCCCATAATCCGGGCCATCCTCCACCAGCGAGATACCAAGGTCGCTATTTGACAATCCCGCCGCCACTCCAGTAGGATGCACATCGGCCAAACACTGCCTCGTAGCATTCCACCCCCCGTTATTCAAGATAACAGTTAAGAAAGGGGTCTGGTACCGATGTGCTGCCCAGTAAACTGCCGTGGGAACGGAGAAAACAAAGCTCCCGTCGCCGACAATGTTACAGATGAAGGGGGGTTTGGTGGTTTCGTTAAGTTGTAGGTTAGGACGGTCGGAGATATCGTACCGGGCTGTCGCGAGCGAAACGCCGATAGCTGCGCCACCGGACCAGCCTAATCCGCTGCCACCTTTGGTAAGATGGGATCCGGGACGGGTGAGTTGGAGTTGTTCGGTCATGGGGACTTGGTTGGTGACTGAGTCTGTGATGTAGATTGTATCCTCCGGGACGGAGGCACGGATGCGGCTACATAGGTAGTCGACGGTGCAGGGTTCGTCGGGGGTGGAGAGGGGTGTTGTGGCGCGCCCGTCGATGCGGGATCTCCCTTCTTTATGAGTAGTGAGGAGATCTTGGGCTCGGGTAGTCCAGGATTCCTGCAGTGCTGGGAGCCGTGGGGAGCTGGCTATGTAGGTGTTTAGTTGGGTGAGGGCTGATGCTGTGTCGGCGTGGAAGGTGGCGGATGCGCCGATGTCGAACATGTTCATGCGTTCTTTGCGCGGGTCGAGGTCGATGTGGTAGATTCTTGCGTTTGGGGAGGGGTGCACTCGCCGTGGGATCCAGGGGACGTCGGCGTCTAGGACTAGGATTACGTCGGCAGATTGGATGGCTGGTGCAGCGCCTGTGCCACGGGTTAGGCAGGCTGGGTGAGTTGCCGGGAAGCAGACCTCGCGGAGCTCGGAGTCGAAGACTTGGAGGCCTTGGACTGTGTCCGCCAGAGTGATTAGCTGTTCGACTGCCCGGTGGCTTCGGCCCAGGTAACCTGTGATTACAAGAGGGGCTTTTGCGTCTAGCAGCGCGTTACCGATCATCTCCACTGCCTCGGGAGACAGGGATCCTAAGTGACAGGAGGGAACGGGCTTTGGCCGGGGCTCCACTGAGGGGATGGGGGTCGCTAGGATCTCCCGAGTGGCAGTGAGATATACCGGACCTGGGGAGCCGGTCGTGGCCATCAGGACAGCGCGATGCACCACGCTCCCAGCATTGTACGGAGACTTGATCTCCGCGCTAAAGCGACTATAGGGCGCCACGATGGCCGCCTGATCGCGAATATCCTGGTACCACTGGACATGCTCCGAACGAGAACCTGGAGCCTCACCCAGCAGCGTGGATGGGGCAACACCGGCGAAGATTACGACAGGGGCACGTCCGCTAGATGCATTGTGCAGGCCCTGACCCAGGGCAGCAGTCCCCACGTCCACGTGGGCGATCACACATGCCGGTTTGTGACTGATCCTAGCGTAGCCATCTGCAGCTGACATGGCCACGAACTGGGTGATCGATCAGTGGGGTTCCATGTGCTGATCCTGGTGGACGAAACAGTTGACTGACCTCGTGCTGGAACAGTATCATCTTGGGATACTGACGGGTGGAGTCATTTTGACGGCGGATATAGGCTTCAATGATACTAGGGTGATCGGAGCCAAGTACAGTGAAGAGGTAGTCGACTCCAGCCTGTCATGATTTAGACTATATTCATTCACCAAAAAAAAAAAAAAAAAAACGAGGGATAGATTGTACCTCCGCCAAGGCCTCCAGAAAAGCATCTGCTACAATAGTGCTTCCCATGGTCTTTTCCATGGCCATATTGCAGCTATTACTTAGAGTGGATTTAGATGAGGGTTATTGTGACGATCCTTAATTCCGTCGCTTTATGCCAGTCACTGGAAGTGCTAGGGTTGTCAGAGTGTGTACTGTTTCAGTAACAGGGATTAATCGACAGACGGGAGGAAAGCAATCAATATTCGGAAGTCCACCGGAGTACTACCTTATTAGAGATATCACGCCATGACCACTTAATTAATGTTTCATTCTCTGTCCTCGTACTCGGCCAAGATCCCTGTCAGTGGAATTAAGCTAATTTAGGGCGCGTCGGGAGTGGGTCATGATCCACAGAAGCACTCAGAGCGAGAAAACTTAAGAAAAAACGAAGCCTTGCGAAGCCCTAAAAGGTCAGTAATATGCCGTGGCATTATGACCATCAGGACGCCATATTACCGCTACACCATTTTCACCATGACCGTGCTCCGTAAAAGTATATATTTAATTTTACTTCATTCTTCTCGAAAAAAAGAATAGAATTCATATCACGAATAAGCCCGTTCAGTACGCATGACAATATCCGTCTTCATAACGATCTGATTCTTGGCAATGGGGCCCTGACTGCCCATACTCTCAGAATCAGCCTCCCCATAATAATCCTCATCCCTCTGTCCGCCCGTCCGTATCCCAGACTGTGACCCAAGTCGACTCATCCGGTAACTCGGCCTCGTCTTCCTCGAGCCATTCGACAAGGAAACAAACCAACTAGGAATAACCCTCTGGATCGGATGCTTCAAAAATGGTAGACAGGCACAAATAATCCCCGTACTAGCCTCGATAGCACTCCACATCAGCGCATCGAATGATCCCCATGTTGGGTCGTTCGTTTTTGTGCTTTCAGCCATGGCCCACATGCGAACAATACTTGTTATGCAAACGAAGAGGCCCATGCAGAAGACGAGCATCACCCCGATTTTGCGGATACGATCGAGGTGTAGCCGTGCTAGGACGGGAATGGGCATTAGGCACACCCAGATGTCCATGATGGTGTTGTAGCCCGCCCAGGACCAGCGGAATTCAGCGTTTCTGACGCACTTTTTGGGGATATCCTTGTGCCAGCTCGCGTGGACGGGGATGCATTGGAAGATGGTGGCGATTACGAACCCGAAGGTGCTGGATAGGACCAGGGCGATGGTGATCCAGCAGATAAGACGGAATTTGGGGGTTGGGAAGAGACGAAGGTAGAATGCGAGGAAGGATAGCTTATTGAGACACAGGACGAGCTTGTAGAAGATCTGGAAGAGCCAGAAGAACTACCCAGTCATGTAAGGTTAGATGGTGCCACTGTTTAGGACCTTCTAAAGACATCACACACCTTCAATGCCAGGACTCGGTTGCCTCCTGTTCGAACCACGTCGGCGCGGTGGCGACCGAAAGCGTAGTGACATGCTAAAAAGGCGGCTATATTTAGTTATTATGGACATATTATCGATCAGAGAGAGATCATACCCAAGTCCCCCATGACTGTATTTACAATCTGTATAACCTGTTTCCTTTGTTAGTCCAAGTGCAAATCACTAGCCAACGCACGATATACCATGGAGAAAGAGATGATCGCATCATCGGCAGCGATTTTGCTTTTCATGTAAACCTTCCATAGTATTCGGTAGGCCACTAATATGAAGGCGATCACCGTCAAGATAGCGGTCACCTTGACAAATAGAGGACCTTTATTTGGGACATCGGAGGGATCCAACGCCATGGCTTCCCTCGTACAGCCGTCACAGTACCAAGTACAATGAATGGACGAACGAATAGAAACAAATCATCAGAAAACAGGGAAAAAAAAAAAAAAAGAAAAGAAATGAGAGTGAAAGGAGACTTAAGGAATGTAATCGTCAGCCGGCTGGACGGAAAAAGTCTCGAAAATGGTCATGATCCGGGTCTTGTGGAAGGAGTTCTGCTCCTTATACGCAGTACTACCTAACAATACATGTAGTACTAGGCCTGGCCACAACCTGTGCACTCGATAGGCTCTTTCCGTAGGCAAACCATGTTGCAGGAGCCGCTAAACTGAGATCCCGGTATAGCCTCTAGATCAGTCGATGGCTGGTGTGTTCCATCCCTGCACACATGATCCTTGGGGAGACCTGATCCATGGTGATTGAGAAAGGAATTTCCACTGGTTGGTAGGAAATCGAGGTTCTTGGCACACTGGTCGTAACCCACAAGCCCACAGGAAAAGACTAGAAACCATCCACGTTCGTAATTGAGCAGGGGTTTGGACATAATTCATGGTGTCACTGTCTACCGGACTGGGGCCTTGTTATAGAACGGTCTTATTGCGCAGGAGTACGGGCGTGGATCATTTTCGCTTTAGTTTGGATTCCGGTCCGATCCTGGTGGAAAGGATCCACCCAGAGTGGAATCTTGATCGATTCCCCGGACCAATAGACTGCGAAATACTTCCTCAATTGGCCAATCGGGGCTTTCAGCTGTTGTTCCTTGAAACCGGCCAAACCTTGTCATATCTAAGCATATGGAAAGGCTTGCGAGGTTTGGATGGAACATCCGCACTAAGGGCTAATGTGAGACTAAACAAATTGCGCTACACGGGCTACAAACCCAGACGAGACATAAAATACCACGCTGTAAATAGGTACGTAATGATTGTAGAACCACCGGAGTATTCCGTACTGTAGATTAAATTAAATGAAAGCCTCCCACTTAGCGCGGGCCAGTATCGGTACAATGCGCCCTCATACGATCCAAGCATCTCTTACAGCTGAAACCGAAAATCCGGGTGCGCATCTCCGAGATCCTGAGTACTTTCCGGTGTCCACTCCTGCTCGGGATGGCTGTCGCGACGGCGGTTCTCCGCGCGCAAACCGAAATAATACACCGTGCTCGCCACTCCGGCCATGACTGCAAAGCCTAATCCAACGCCGAATCCCACCGGATATTTGGGGGACTGGCTGGTGATAAAGACGTTCCCGGACACAAAGGCACCGCAATTGCCAAATGCTGGAAGCAGGCCCATACCCACACTGCGCTTGACTCCCTTGCCGAGATTAATGCACAACCATACCACCGTGATGGACATCATGATGAAGGCACCGGAAGCCACAAAGAACATGCCCATGTAGCGGACAGCCGCGGGCAGATAGTGCGCCAGCTGAACACTCCATCCGATAATGATCAGAACCGAGCCAAAGAGGGTGAATAGGAAGCGGTGTCGGAGGTGATCACTCAACCAGGCGCTAGAAAGCGTCAGCACAAATGCGACCGCATAGATAGGAATTCCGTGCGCTTGTGCGGAGCGGGCAGTCCAGCCAAGGTCCTTGAGGATGGTGGGCTGGAATGCTACAAGAGAACTGGCACTTTCTTCGGCGCCGATGTAGGCCAACACACTGTCCCACGGGTGGGTCAGTTGGTTGACACTTGGAAGCATGGCGAGAGAAGAAGGGAACTTACCAGATCCAGATTTTCCAATCGGCCGCCATACTGAACACCCGTTTCAAGGAAATGGGGTCGTTACGAACACCACCACCGTCGGCCTCCAGACGAGCCAGCAGTAGCGCCTTCTCCTCGGGGGTCAAGAAATTCGCGTCTTCTGGGAAAGGTACGATAATCCAATAGCAAATGATGCTAATACCCATGGTAATGATGGCTTCGATCAAGAAGAGCCTAGATAGTCAGACAGAAGAAATATTCAATATGGGGAGAAACCCTACCATCGCCACCCTGCGTATCCGCTGAGGTTCAGTCCCGTCAAGAGACTCGAGAAAAGCTGTATATCGAGTCAAAAGTGGCTCAAGCGAGTATCATCAACTAGAACTAACCCCATTGATCGCGCCGGCTGCCATATTGGCACTGAAGAAAATTGCATAGCGGCGCAGAAACTCATCCCGCTTATAGTAACTCCCGATCAGATATGCGCAGCCTAAAAGAGGCCCTTTTATCAGTATCCATTCATCTGATGGTTTTTCTCAAACTGCCACGAACCAGGAACGAACCCTGCCTCACACACTCCCATAAAAAATCGACAGGCGATCAGCCCCGTCGCAGTCTTCGTCAAACCCTGACCCATCACAAACAGCCCTACCACGCGGTCTCCAGTTAGCATACTCCAGGTTAAAGTAAAGGAATGTAATCCCACCCCAGGTGAACATGTAAATAACCAGCATTCTGGGCCCGAATTTCTTGACCAGTAGATTGGCGGGCACTCCGAAAATCACGTATGCGACAGTGAACATTGTAACGGCGACATTATAGTCATTTCCGACCATATGTAGCTCTTTGACCATTCCAGCGATTTTGGCATTTCTAAGGTGAAACGTCAACGTTAATTCCGGAGTAGCAGATAATTTGGAGCAGGAGCAGATAACTCACCCGATGTTCGATCGGTCCATGAACGACACGAGGAACAGAAACCATAGTGCAGGGATGATTCGCCAGTCCAACTTCCGTAGCAGCTTCTTCTCCAAGACTGGATCAAAGTTGCTGCTCAAGGATTCTGCGACCCGGGGCTCAATATCTGGCTTCTCCATTGTCATGCGAAATCCAAAGGGATGTAAAGAAAATGGCAGAAGAAGCTGCGCCAGCACGTTGCGAGGAACCCCTGTTATTGTAGATGAAAAAGGTACCTTTTAGCTCGAATAATCCCTGCGCAGGCCAGTCCCCTTCAGTGGTGGGATGTGGCACGGTATCATTACCTATACACCATTATCTTAGGCCGCCCCGCCATAGTCTGCTTGGACGCACCTTGTGGACCCTCAAGGTCGGTCTGGAGCGCGGGCCATATAAATTAATCTGAGCACAAATCGTGTTCGGCTCCACCACCCTTCGGCCTTTAGCTTGGAAAGGCATCCGGGCTTTCATCCCTGCACTCTGGTAGTAGCGGTTTCAAGTTCCAAACCGCATTCTCCGGAGAATAGCCGGAATTGCTCGTTCTGTATAGCCAGAACAGCACTCGGCTGGGTTATACTATCCGCGCAGTTATTTACAATGCAACCATCCACTTGGTACCTTTTCTTGTGAGAGGAAGAAATACACTTATTGATTTGCTTACTAGGCATTCGAATATGTATAGTGCTGAATGATTAGATACCAGCCAATTATCGGCTAATAGATGTTGTTTTGTATGGTAAGTAGACCCTTTAAGAGATCGGTACATTAGCGCTATTGCGTTTTAGTGGCGAGGGAGGTAATGCCACAGCATGAGATAGTCATACATTTGCTTAGAAGAGGTCATATTTTGTTGCTTTCATTTTCCTGGAAGGGAGGGGTGAAGCGCTGAGTCTTTACCTAGACTGGCCTCTCAGCTACAAGGCTGTCGTACTATCAGCAGCCGTAGCCTCATGTGGTACCCCAAATGGTCTAGATAATGCATGTCAGTCAGTCTTAGAGTCGACATAAACAGCATCAGCGTATAGCTACAAACCTATACTAGACACTAGGGCTACCTGGAATCTTACATAGCCCCTGGCTGGTGTGCAAGACTATCATCTCCCTGAACTATTTCAATGATTGAAGTGCCTCTGGAACTTGAATGAACGCATACAAGGTATCCCCATCTTAGTGCTTCCTGGTCATTTGAACTGTAGGACGGCTAAAGGTCTTATGGATCCCATGGTTCCTATTGAAGGGTTGTTCACGCATAAGCCAATGTTCGCACCCTTGTGCTTTCATTACACCGCAGGATGCATGTTAATACAAAAATAACCATGGCTTGAATGCAGAGCCTACCTTGGATTGCACGTGGCGAATGTATAAGTACTCGCATGCACGCCAGATGCTGCTCAAGTGAGCGATGTTCACTCACGCTACACTTCTCTGGATCTTCTGCATCAATTAACCCACAAAGATGGCTTCGAGTACAGGATTTCCCCAGCTTCCATGGGTTATCAGCGATATTGTTCAACAAGTCCACAGACTTCCTATCTGGAGTACCATCTTATTCATATCGATGCTTCTAGTGTTGGTACGTATTCTTTATCACCCTAGCCATCCGTTGATGAGGCAATCCTGATGGCTACATCCCACCACCTGCTCGCATGGCATCAACTAACTCCGCTGTTAAGCACTATGCTATTTACGCAGTCTACAACATCACATTTCATCCGCTTGCAAAATACCCCGGACCGAAAGTGGCAGCGATGACCCGCCTATTGTATTCCTCTCACCTACTTTCCGGCAAGCTCGTCGATTTCCTCCACCAGACACATCAAAAGTACGGAGCAGTAATGCGAGTCGCCCCAAACGAAGTCCTTTTCACGTCAAGCCAGGCCTGGAACGACATCTACAATGTTCGGCATGGCGAGCCTGAGATGAGTAAAGACACACCATTATACCAAGGCTTAGGAGGAGCTCCTACGATCGCCGAAGCAGGGCACGACCTTCATCGCCGGTATCGACGTCTACTCTCGAAAGGGTTCTCGGAAGGTGCCTTGCGGGAGCAGGAGCCCGTTATACAGCAGAAGATCAACGTGTTAATCAAACAGCTTCATGCCGAGGCAGCAAATGGTGTTACACCGGAGATGACATCGTGGTTCAATGTGGGCTATCTCTCTCTCTCTCTCTCTCTCTTTTCTTATCTCGAGGATCAACGTTGCAACCCTGCTTACTATTTCTAGTTCTTCACATTTGACCTGATTGGGGAGCTTACCTTTGGCGAATCTTTCAAATGTCTGGAGAACGCGCAGTTCCACCCGTGGATACTCATGGTCACTCAGTCCATCAAGTTCAGGAGCTTTATTCAAGCGCTAGGATACTATCCATTACTATTCAAACTCTTCATGCGATTGATTCCGAAGTCCTACCAGGAGGCATTCAGGAACCATCAGAAGCTCACATCTGAGAATGTTCAACGTCGAATGGAAAAGAAAGTCGACTACACCGACCTAGCTTCTAACATAATAGATCCGAAACGCAATCTCGAAAGGTATGAGATCGACGGCAACTGCGCTGTACTTGTTGTAGCCGGCAGTGAAACCACCACTGCTGCCCTAAGTTCCACGATGTACTATTTGACCCAAAACCCCGAAGCAAAAGCAAAGGTGACCAAGGAGATCCGAAGTTCCTTCTCCAGTGCAGACGAGATTACCACCATCAGCGTCAACCAGCTCAAGTATCTACCGGCGTGTTTCACTGAAGCCATGCGAAAACTCCCTCCCGCGCCAGCTGTGTTCACCCGCCGTGTCCCAAAGGAGGGGGCCTATATCGCCGGAAACTGGATTCCGGGCGGCACGCACGTTGGGATGTGCCATTTCGCTACGGATAACTCGAGTCTCAACTTCAAGGACCCCCAGAAATATATCCCCGAGAGGTGGTTGGGTGATCCTGAGTACGAGGATGATCGTCGCGCTGCAATGCAGGTGTTCAGCGTCGGACCGCGGAACTGTATCGGGCAGAACCTTGCAAGGTTGGAGCTGCGTCTTTTGTTATCTCGTGTTATATGGGAGTTTGACTGGGAGCTAGACCCTGTCTTGGTGGATTGGGACAAGGAAATGCCGGTCTATCTTAGTTGGGGTATGAAGCCGCTGAGGTTTCGTCTTACGCCTGTGGCTCACTAGTCTGTCGGTAGCGAGGATGGTATTTGATTTTTCTAGTCCGATAACGTGGCTTAATTGTGATGACCTGGTTGTATTGCCTAACGAAGAAAGTATAAGTATAAGAAAGTGGCCAATGCATAAGTCATATCAAGACTAACTGCTCATAACTCGTAATACAGTCGTTCACATTTTCTTTAAAACGAATAAATAAACTCTTGCCATTGTACATCTCTGCTTTTAGCGGGATGTATTATCTCCATCTATGGGTAGAGCCATATCTACACTCCATACATACATGGAAAGCTGCATTAGCTGCATTACACTGGATACCGTACAGCCGACCTTCGTCTACTAGTCGAACTCTGCAAGACGACTTCTCTGTTACTCCGAAGAATCCAGAACTATCAAGAAGGTTTGACCGAGCCCAACGCATTCGTTAGCCCATGTGGCAATTGGGTTAGTAGTCACTCAGACACGAATACGAATAGCATCGCTGTTGTGATTCTGGCCGCGTAGTCCCACACTACATCGAGTACTTTTTTCAACATCACTGCGTTAATGACCCTGTGTCACGTCTCCGGATGCCGATGTCGTGCAATCTGCTGGCGTAATCGTCATCCTAGGATCAACAAAATCTCATCAGGAATATAACCCCACTTAAAAAGTGTAAATAGCTGGACATTTAGAAGATAGTGACAATAAGAAAAGATAAACCCCTTCCCCGGCGAACAAACTGTAAAGTGCGCTAGACAAGATGGGCAATGAATACATCTACAGAGCATGTGTGGTTGTTGTGGATTATGGCTCTAGATTGACTCGAGGGTCTGGGAACACACTGCACTCTTCCGATGCTGTCAGGGTCAAGGAACATGTTCCGATTGGTTTGCAGAGATAGCACTTTCGTAGGATACCCTTGCTCTTTATGTCTTTGAGAGACGCCCTCTCCAAGGAAGTTGCACGTGCTATGAAGTGCAAAGAGGCTTGCACAGTGGTACAGATGCAACGAGGCTTGTAATTCAAATCACTAGAAAGAAGGGAAATCTGGAGAGCAATAACAGGTATGCTCGTCATATCTAACTGGGCTATAAGAGTCTGGGCGGTCACCCGGTGCAGTTGACGAATGTGTCCCCGACAACATGATTGATTTTAATTCAGACTGTAGAAGACGGAAAATGGCAATAAGATTTCAGCCTTTGATAATGATCTGCTTGTGCCACGGCAGCCAATTATCAGCCAGTTGGATTGAGGAAGATTGGAGTGTTGGTCAACCTCTTCTAGGCACTTCCATTTACATCGACGACTCTGTAAACTAGTTAGTTAGCACTAGATTTCACGGGGGATATACGCCGATACCCCATCAAAGTTCCCCTGAGGAGATTCGAAGGATATATATAGAGAAGGTGCAAAGTCGGCCATTAGAGAATTTGGTTAACTTCCCAGGCCACTGAGTTGGCGAGTCAACTGCTTATTACTACTAGTACTAGTAGTTTCCTAGAGGATTCTATAAGCGGTTTCTGACCATACGAACCAGCCTATTTATGGAGATGCGCCAGTTGGTTTGGGCACAAGTACTAGACTTTGTAAAACTCGTCAGTGCAACTAGACTCGCAAAAGCTCTCTGCCAACTAAAAGCCGACCTGTTCACCATCGACTCGGAAATCAAATCAGCGGACGAGAGATACACCACTGATTACCAACGTAAGTCTTCAGTGGCCTGTTATGCGGCCAATTAATTTCCCTTCACTCTCCTAATTTCTCCTTCGGGCACTGGACATGTGTAAGATGAGATACATTGATAAATAGCTAAAACCTAATAACCACTCTTCATTTAGGCAAAGATAAACAATAAGTTCTTTGAGCTGTCCTTCAACCACGTTGCTTGACTTGAATGGTAGGCCTACTCCGAGGAAGAAATTTTGTATCGCACAACCACGAGAAACTTTACGCAATCGGAAGAAGGACTGGTACATAGGAGGAGAGCTTATTCTAAGACGATACGCCTCCTCCCGGGAGCTTGAATGTGGTACTTAGGGTTAGGTGACTAGTGCCCTATGGTTGGCCTTTTATACGGTCCTTCCTCATCGACTTAATAAATATTGACGAGACCTTGGGAGAAACAGGGGCACAGACTAGACCCAAGTGCTCATTAAATCTATATTGGAATTTAGAGAATGGCTCGCTGTTGACTATACAATGCTTTTATCGATTCATACTATTGCTTTTGTTTTTGTCTTCGTACCAGATCGCTCTTGGTGTATGCTGTGGAATACTCCACCCTACGTTCTTTTAGGCAGTTGCCTCGCACTTGTTTTCACAGAATGTGTTCTCAACACACTCATACTTTATATAAAGACATTTAAACCCCGCCAACCGATTTTTGCCGGTAGAAAAGTTAGTGGTCAATCTCGTCAGCCATGCGCCAATCAAATTGAGCAATGGACCGCGTAACGCCTCAGCCGCATCAGCAAAGCCTGGTGAGATCGACGATGCTGCCCCTCACCACACTCCTTTGAATCCCAAGTTAAGGTCTATGATGCGACCATGACGGAAACCTCCTCCAAGGAACATGGTTTGTTCCGCCTTTATCCCAGAAAATATAGGGCAGAGCAATGCGCAGTTGAGTATGGCGCTGTAGGAACATTCATAGCAGCACCTACTAATCGCCCCCTAGTATTGTAGCCATTCATGGGTTAGGTGGTAATGCATTCAAAACATGGACAGATAGTGAGGGTCACTTGTGGCTGCGCGACTCACTACCAAAGCATGTCCCCAGAACCCGGATCATGACATACGGCTATGACTCGGCCGTGGCATTCGGTCGGTCGCGCATGAATGTCGGGGACTTTGCTGTTGATTTGCTTACGCGCCTTGTAATGGTGCGAGAGTGCGATGCAGAGCGTATGAGACCGTTGGTCTTTATCTGCCACAGCCTCGGGGGTGTGGTCCTCAAGCAGGCACTTATCACGGCATCAGCGGTGCAAAACCATTATGGTGCCATTACGAAGAGCACCTTCGGAGTGATTTTTATGGGAACCCCCCATCGTGGATCTAGAGTTGCAACCCCAGCACGGCACATCGCCCGCATTATCAACGCTACGTCCCTGTCGTCTCTGGTGCGGTCTGACCTTCTAGCTGTTCTCTCTATGTCTTCCAAAGAGCTCCAGGATATCTCCCAGCTTTCCGTTCCAATCCTTAAGAACCTCGTTATTGTGTCTTTCTATGAGCAGAAACCGCTGGGACCAACTTTGGTAAACCCAATTGTTCGTGTCACAAAAAAAAAAAAGTTATCTGACCTATAGACACAGATTGTCGAGCCCGTATCAGCTATTCTCGGATTACCCAATGAGCGAGCCATCCCAGTAAATACAGATCATCGCAAAATGGCCAAGGTCTCTCCGAAGCACAAGCAGATGTACATGCCCGTTTGGAAAGGAGTTTCAGATCTTGTAGAAGGTATGATGAGACTGACGTTGATGGAGTTCCGTGGCAACCCAGACTAAAGGTTATAGCGGCTATCAATGAAAATGCGTCTCAGCTCAGGGAGCTTTTGGACGTCCTATACAGTGTTGATTATAAGCAGTCTCAACTTGCTATCCGTCAGCCCCACAGTGGCACATGCGACTGGCTGTTCAACCACGGCGTGTTTAATAACTGGGCATTAGCAAAGGGATCATCGATGTTGTGGCTCGTGGGATCCCCGGGAGTCGGCAAGAGCGTTATAACTCGACACCTTGTTGAAGGAGTCTTAGGTGGCAACGACCGTACAATACTTCCTTATGATTACATTGGTGCCAGTTTCTTTTGTTCCTATAAGGAATCGGCAAGCATCACAGAGTGTGATATTTTGAGGTCTTTATTGCACCAGTTTCTCCAGGCATATCCTCAGTGTCAGGACACGGTGCGACGGCGGCTTGACATTAAATTATTAAATCAACAGACTGAGCGTTTCCAGAACTGGAATCTGTGGAGGACTATCGAAGATGTGCTCACCCTCCAGGGAATGCAGTATTGCTTCATTTGTCTTGATGCTCTCGAAGAACTGCCGTTCGAGACGCTCCATAGTCTACTTGAAGGATTCTACAGCATTGTTATACGCTTCTCACATTCCCAACCAAGTCATTATTTACGTGTCTTTGTATCAAGTCGCCCCATACCGAATCTTCAAAGGTCCCTTAGAGCTGTTCACACGATAAGGATACAGCCTTCGGATATATCGCCCCAGATCAAAAAGTTTCTCCAGGATGGCGTCAGGGATTTTGCACAGCAGCACAAATCATTCGCTCACGCTACGAATCAATCCTTGCGTGACAAGGTGGCGTGTAAAATTGAGGAAAGGGCCGATGGAATGTTTCTATGGGCAAGTATCGCGTGGGAAGACTTCAAAAGAGGCTTGCTCTGGAACCACGATATTGTTGATGAAAAGCTCAAGCAGCTTGAGTCTACATCATCCGGTATAAACAGCCTATATGACCGTGTAATTGGCAAAGTTGACCTAGCTATTCGTCCGGACATGTGGTTGATATTTGAGTCCATTGCCCTCACTGGGCGCTCCTTGAGTGAAACAGAACTCGGGGTCATGCTTGCTGTTCGGCGGTCACAAGACCACGTTGCATACTCCCATCAGATCCACCCATTTGAAGCTCTGGATGAGATAATTGAGGAGAACTTTCCCGAGTTAGTGAAGATACACGACGATGGCCAAATATCGTTCACCCATCTATCTTTCAAAGAATACCTGTTCCAGTATTGGGACGAAACGAATCCATGTCGGCTGAGGACAGCACGCAGGGAGCTCGCTGACGCATGTCTAACTTACCTAACTCTGAAGGACCTGGTAAACGATGCAGATAGCACGGATTGGCTAGGTGAGTCACCATTTCCCCCCTCACGATGTGGCAGTGCTTCAACTCAACAAGAAACAGAAATCCAAAAGAAGTATACACTTTTCCAGTATGCATATAATTTCCACATATATCATCTCAAATTCATCAGCAATGATAATCCCTTATGGCTTCGCTATGCTAGCTTAGCAAGCCAGAAGTCATTATTTACAGTGAACTGGACCGGGAAGAAATACTGGAGCCCTCTACGGACAGTAACAGACTACGTTAGGTCTGCTCCCCTTGTGAAGAAGTTCGTCGAGTATGGCTATGATGTGAATGAGCCTTGGAGATCGGACCATGAGCATAGCGCTCTTGAATATTGCTGCGATGAAAGGACCGGGATAGACCAGGAAGAGTTTGTTGCTACACTATTAGACGCAGGTGCAAACCCCAACGGTTTACACTATGCTATGGGTGTTGGTGAAACTTGCCTCCAGCACATGATCAGGACACGTGCATGGAGGCTCTATGCCATGTTGTTGAAGTGTCCACGGATCAATCTTGGTCTCTGTAATTACAGGGGTCAGACGGTAATTCACTACATGGTCCAGTTTGGTGACTGCGCTCGCTTGGCAGATATACTCCATATGGATGGGTTTGACATCAATGCTCAAGATACAGGGGGCAACACAGCCCTTCATGATGCCACAACACACTCCGACATCGGGAAGTTGAAGCTTCTCTTAGAAGTAAATGGGGTACAGCTTGACATTCAAGACAGCCAGGGCCGAACACCACTCACTCTAGCATCCTATTGGGGTCTTCGAAAGGCTGCCCTAATGCTGATATCATGTTCAAGGGGGCTTCCGACTCTAGAGAATAATGAGATGAGTAGTATTATCTGTGCGGCAATGCAGGATGATGAGTGCCTAACCCAGATACTGCTCGAGAAATTTGAGTTTTGTAACCTTGACCATCACCTTGATGTCTCCGGAAGAACAGTGCTGCATCATGCCGCGATCAACGACTGGCCGAGAATAATTGAGCAAGTCCTCCACCATACGTCAGGTGTGGAGATCCTCAACAGGATCGACCACTCCGGTGGCTCAGCCTTGCATCATGCGGCGGCGTTAGGCCACACGCGCTGTGTACAAGTATTGCTGGAGCGTGGAGCCAGTGTCCGTCTTCAGGATCGCAACGGGCGCACTGCCGCCCATGCAGCTGCAGATTCTGGGTTCAAGGATACACTTGTTATCCTCCTTGGCGCAGAGGATATCGATCCCTGCCAACGGGACCACCAGGGACGGAACCTGGTGCATTGGGCTGCGTCCATTGACTGTGTCGATGTGATGGAGATGATTGTCAGGCAGTGGCCTCATGTCGAGCTTACACGAAAGGATAATTTATTCCAGCTTCCCATTGACATTGCAAATATATGTAAATGTGCAAACGTTGGGAAGTTTCTGGAAGAAGAAATGGAGCGACGTGGCTTGATTCCTTCATGGTTACAGGCCTACAATTGGGGCTCCATGTATAATAGCCCGCTTTTGGACGTAGTTCCGGAGGAAGATCTGAGTGCTATCGATCGCGAGGCCCGAAAAGCGTTTGAGCTGGCTGAACAAAAAGAGCGAAACCGAGTATGGGAAGCCCTACATGAGCAGTACCCTGATGTCGACTGGGCATTGACCATAAGAGGGTTTCACTGCATGGCCTTTGAGATCAGTATAGCACGTACCGAGCTAGCTGAGCTATACAGTCAGCTGGATTCCATTTGCCTGGCAGGAGCACATTTTCCTTCGGCACGCAAATGTCTGGATTCCTTAGCCAGGCCGCTGGACCGGCTACAGGATATTATAAATTCCAGAGACTCAAACCCAGTGTCAACAAAGGGCAGCTGGGAACAATCTCAGCTAGATGGGATACGCGCCATGACAGAGGTGATGCGAACCATGATGGATGTTGTCAACCTTGAATCCGATACTGATACGGCACTGGATGAATCGTTTATGGAATTGTCTGAGCTGTACAATGAGCTAGCAAGGGCATATCGAGCTACTAAGGAGCCACCGGCTCAAATCAGATGGGATGCAATGGACAAGCTTAGGATGATACGAGTGGAATTAATTAACATGGGCCTAACCGGGCTGTCTATCTAAGGTCCATGTATGAGAATTTATATTACCTTTGTATTCAAGAGCAAGGCGTTGTTATTGTTGTATGCCTTTTTTTTCCCCTTATATAGAAATATCCATGCGCTTCTACACACGCGAAAGGAAGCGGGTCCAACATGATAAGTAGAACAATAAATTGTGATTGCAAGTAGCGGTGTGCTATGAGAGGGAGAGAGTTGCCAACCTCCTACGAAGGTTGGGTGGTCGCTACGTCCTTTATATACATCGGGTAGGGCTTTTGTCAGGGGACATCCCCCCGTTGTAGGAGACTCCCGTAGGGCAATCCTATAGTGAGTAGTTCCCCAGTGTAGCCACGATCACAGAATACCAATCATCATCTTGGGTTATGCACTAAGCATAGGCTCTAGCGCATCAGATTGATAGACCCTGGATGGGATCTCGGGGGTTAAATCCTACAACTAAAACAGCATCAACTACGGCCGTGTGTAGGCAGTCCATTCATTGGCCGTCATTTGGTTTAAAAAAAAAACCAGAAAAATAAAGAAAACAAACATACAACAGGAGGGATTCGCTGGTGGTCACCCACCCAACTACTAACCTCCCGGCGTGTGGCTTAAGTACGGCTGAGCGGACGGGAAGCCCTGTTCTCCACACCCTATGGTCGTATGTATTTAAAGGACCTAAAATTGAGAATTATATAGAGAAGTTAGATAGAATTAATCGCCCAAAACCAGCATTCCATTACTTTGGGAGTAGTCTTGGAAGGCCTGCCGGATCAGGCCACTAAGTGACTCTGCCTAAACCTGCCTAAATAGGACTAGCGTCTACGAGTGGCAGATCCAAGGCTCGCACTCCTGCCTGAGGCATCCTCAGCCGTTGTGAAGCTCCTAGAGCCTTCGACATATACTCCGTATAGTGGAATCTGGCAAGCCTTTGGCCTTATGACAATCTATGGCGTAATGTTCAAGAGTAATACGTATAGGCTAATCGCTCTACCAAATCTGGATGTATATCAATATTATGCACCTTATGGTCAATTCTTCATTGTATATTCAATCGGATTCTTTCTTGCCTCCTCACGGGGGCAATGGTCTGTCCGAAAAACAGAGAATTCAATTCTGTCCGTGAGTCAAGGATTAAAGTTTTCGTTGAGATGTAATTCAATCAATTGTACTCAGTAGCGGCATACAATATCCACTCGACCATCCACAGTGGGATAGTGTGGATAGGGGCGAGTCACGATGGAAAAATTCTATAGTTCTAACCTCTAACTGCTACCTTCCCCCGTGACTCAGGTACCGTGACCTCAGCCACTACTCCATAAGGAAGGACCACCGCCATTCCCCAAACGGGGGCCAGGGGATGGGAAACCAGGGGAACCAAAGGCTCCCAGGCTTCACATGACCGGACCGGGTTAGGGCTAGGGTACGCCAGACCGGCATGGATGCGGCTTATATGACGTCATCGGAACGACCACCGAGTTTGCACCGGCGTTGAATCGCCTGTGGTAGCCGATGCTTGCCAGAGTCGAACAACCGTGGAAGTTTCATCGGATAAACCGAAAGACCACACCAGAAGGAGCTATGACTTCTAAAAGGAAAGCGTTTCCAGTGAGAGATTTTATCCCTCACCGCGTGATGGACTCAAAGGAGAAAGGGATAGGCTGCTGACCCATGAATCTCATTCTAGACCGGCCCGGCGTCCAAAATTTTAGGTAATGGAAATGAAGAGATTTCTTGGGGTGAAATCACGTTGCGATCACGTCACAGCCATTGGTATGGATCGTCTATAAATATCATCACGCAAAGAATTGCGTGGCTGTCGTGTCTGGATCTACTGGAGTATTGAATTTATTTTAAAATTTTAATAGTTTTATGATTTTTGTATATTTGATTATTATTTCTAGGAGGCAATATTGTAGTCTTATATGGAAAGGAGGGACGGGAGGAAGGGAATAGAATTTGGTGCCTGGGAGTCGATCAGGAGAAAGACAACCGATTCTATGAGAGATTTTTTTTAAAAATTTTCTCAATTAAATGAGTTTCCCCAATTTTGAAAAAAAAAAAAAAAAATTGCAAAATAGTAAAAAAGGGAGATCGACAGGGAGGAGAAGAGGAACTGAGGTCCTCCGCATTTTCCTCCCCCGCATTTCCATTAGGTAAATGCCGAGAAGCGCATCGCCGTGACTGGTCCAAGACGGCGGATCCACTGACGTTGTCAAGCTTCCATTTTGCCTCACGTTTCCATTGTTGAGGATCACGTCGTTTCCAATAATTTCTTCGGTCAGCAATTTCACTTGAGACCGGCACCATGGCACCCAATGCCTGGTCATATATATATCCCACCCCGACCACAGCCACTTCGCCAATCTCATTCAGCTTACAAAATCGTGTCATCATACATTCCTCTTCGTTATCAGATCGATCTAATCACTGGCCAATGTGCTGCCGGCAGTCATGGCGCTTGAATCCCTCCCAACAGAGCTTCGCATCCTCATCATCCAACAGCTCCCCGATGTCCAATCCCTCAAGTCTCTTGTTCACGCCTCCCCGATCTACTACAACACCTATGCCCTCTCCAAGAAGAAACTCCTCCATGACATCCTCCAACGACAGTATGGTCTCGTAGACCTGGCCGAGCCAATGGCCGCCCTGCGCTCCCAAGGTCTCCATGCCGATGTACCAGCCAACCGAAATGAGATTGTCACACTCCTCGACCGTCGCCGTCGTCAAGGCGAGCTACCAGTCTCCGAAAATGCCCCTGCCGACATGGAGGAATGCTTACAGCTCTCCCACTTCTACCGCCAACTCGAATACCTCCTCAACGTCTACTGCTCCCAAGCCTCTTGCCCACCTGGCGTGTCGCAAGAAACATGGGAGCAGAACCGTCCCATCAACCCCTCTAATACTGAAAAAGCCCGCATCCTCCGCGCCCTCTGCCGTCTCCAAACCTACTGCAACATCTTCGGCGCCCGAGAATGGAGTGAAGAGCAGCATCACACCACCGACGTATCCTCGCCCTCACAATCCCGCTTCTTCAAGCGCAGATCCTCCAGCTGGTACCGCAATTTCAACCTCCACGAAATGTGGAGTATGATCTTCGGCACCATGCCCCCCTGGGAGGTCGAAGAATTCGGCTGTCTCTGGGTCTTCCTCCAACAGCAATATACGGAGATCTTCTCCGAGATCGCCCAGGAGTTCCCCCGGAACAGTCACGAATGGCAATCTCTCCGACCCACAGTCGACGGCATGGAACTGTTCCCCAGCGTTGATGGCGATGGTAAGCCCTTCTTCCCTATCTAGTATATTTCGTCTCCAGGATTCAAGAAACTAATGTAACCCAACAGGAAGCGACGGCAACGACTACAATGATTACCGCAACCACCTAGTCTCCCTAGGTCCATCTTTCCTCTACAAAGTCCTCCGCCAACCATCCTACGAGGCACGTCGCAACCTCATCGCCTGTAATGCTGTTTCCTCCAAGTCCTCCTTCATGATCCTCGTCCAGGTCTCCCGGGACCCCCCATCTCTCCTCTACCCAGCCGACAAGTACGAAAGCGAAGACATCGGCAGAACCCTCCCGCTCATGCCGGCCATCGAGCAACCCAACAGCGGCTGGAAGCACCACTGGCACGGCTACGGGCCCATCCACCGCGTCCGGGAAGTTGTCCGCACCGACAACCTCCAGGAACCGTGGATCGAGCGGACGATCGGAAACTCTGCCGGATGGCAATGGGGGTATGCGATCTGGGACGAGGAACGAAGCGCGGCCGGTCACCGCCTTTAGATTCCCGTCTAAAAAGAAAAAGTAATCATCTCTAAGAGATGAAAAAAAGGAAAAAGAATGCATCATCCGTGAATCGAACACGGGCCTCATCGATGGCAACGATGAATTCTACCACTAGACCAATGATGCTGACTGAGCTATTGGCTCTTGATGAATTTTATTGGCCTTTAATTGCATCTGTGGCGTCTTGATTTCTGGGTTTGCATATGGGTTTAGCTGGTTTTGACCCATCATAGTCACTTTTTAATACCGATCAAAAAAGTTGTGATTATTTCTTGTGGAGGAAATTCGATTGATGGATGGGAATTGGGATTTGAAGATATCAGAGCTCTCGCAAACAATACCAAGGTAGAGCTAAAAATGAGAATACATCTCTTGTGATGAAAATTTGCAATCTCGATATATATTTCGTTAGACTCCGATAGCTTGTCCGCAGTAATTCAAGACCAAACCCTGCGAATACAACAAAAGCTAACCAAATCGTCCGGTAATTTGTATCATTACATAAAAATTACATTTTCGTAAACCATGCAAGGAGTAAGTTTAATTGGCGAATATCCATGTAATAAAGTAACCATGTCTAAACCCGGCATCAGAACACCCCAATGACATAATATCGGGCATGATTCCTTACTAGCAGGATATCAAACATGTCTTGAATTTTTCATTTTGTATTTTCCAAGTCGCCTCGGAATAAATCCGGTTGGCCAGAAGTTTATCTTAAGCTTAATCCTGCTCAAAGTTTGCCGGCTATACTACTGACGAGCACGGATCACCTCCTATATCTAGCTGGTATAACAGGAGGCTAGTATTAATTAGACTGTTTATCTTCCTGAGTTCTGTAGCCAGAGTCATGTTTATGTAGCTTATGTAGCTTGGTTATGGTCTATTACTGTCTACATATCTCGGGGAGTTTTCACAGGGTGGTGTTTGTCTAGTATACGCTGCCGCTACTGCCGGTGCATGTATATGCGTCTAATGACCCACTATATAAAAGCCACTTGGGAGACACACCCTTACCTTGATGGCTTTGGTTTATATCTATGAGCGTTTCGTTGTGACCGGATTTCGTTCTTTCTGTGTTGCAGTTGTTGACTTCGAGGTTCTTTCCAAGGATGCCGGTGTTGACGCCTTCCGCTAGGGCGAAGGTTTGGCTAAGCACGTGGTGACTGTAACTCATGGATGCAATGGCACGTTCGAAACCGTGTACAGCTCTGTTTCCTAAGGGTGCCGTCCTCGAATGTACTATCGGTGCTTTGCCACTGTTCATGCTTAGATAATGAGGTGTTCATGCCCAATCATACTAGTACTTAATCACACTAAAATTATGCTAAGGTGGAAAAAAAGGTGACTGGGAACTATAATTCTGCAAAGTACAGCCGTAGACTTTCCCAAAGTACCATAGCATATAACAGATTGTGAATGAGAATTATGCGAAACTCATCACCCGATCCAAAATACAATTCATATGGCATACAAAGAGGTCTGGCCGTAAGCAAGAGGCTAATTATAATGTCAGATCACTGCAATATCTAACAATCACCCCAAGCTAAGGAACTACGATACTATCAAGCCAGCGATCATCCCATGAGTCCTGAATATCCATCCATGCCCTCATGGACAACATCCCTTACCACCCCTTCAGGGATTCCCCATCCCAACCAACTCCTTCACAATATCAGCAGCCCTCATGAACTTATTCCGCTCGATCTCAGAAGGATGTATATCGCTCTCCTCTCGCATACACCCCTGCGGACCGCCATTACACCACTCAAAATCATCACTACTCCACGAAATAGACGTATCCATTCGATAGATATCCTCCGACCCCGGCGGACTCTCCAATGGCAAGTTTTGCAGAATCTCATAAAGCTCAGCTATAAGATCCTGGACCTCTTCATCCGACGAGTCGAGGGTTTTCTCAGGTTTCGGATCCAAGTGCGGTTCGCCATCTGGACGGATGGATTCGTTGATGATGATATTAGAGTCTCCAGCGCTTTTGAACAATTTTAGAATTGCAGATGGAGTAGGGGGTGCGAAGCCGCCTTCGATACCTTTATTCGAACCCTGTGTTATAATGAACTGTCGTACTAGTTTTGAGGAGGGGATTTGGTTGGGTGAGTACCTACCCTTCTGTAGTCTGATGAAATACTCTGAAGGTGCCATTGCTATTGAGTGATAGCTGGGTATGGATGTGGTATACTAGTAGTAGGTATAGAGTACAATTGGGTGGTGGTTTGAGTTATGCCTTTATGTATAATCCACCGCGAGCCCCGCGATCTGCCCCCTCGTATTTTAATATAGCATATCTTGGCAAGGCGGTAACCCTACGTCACCTTGCATCTTGTTCGATTGAATGAATCGTAGAGTGCCAGAGCTTGTACTAGTGAATGATGCATTTAGGTCCGGGGTGAAGGAAGTTTAGTTAACGATAAGTCGTTGAGGGAGGGTACTGAGGTCAGAATTCTACCCCGACCACTTGCTACTGACTACTCTACTACATACAGCATTTCCCCCATGTATATTCGAATGTCTCTTGGGTTACTAGAAGCAAATTCAACCACATCTTGAAAGGTTATAAGGTCATTCGAAATGTTCTCGTAAGTCTCGATGCCCAGATAGTATCGGTCTCTTTAACTCAAAAAGGTAGTCACTTATTGTTATGGGCTCATTGCCTAAGAAAGTAGACCAGATATCTTTGATATACTTAATAAAGTATAATCAACATCCTTAAGGTATCTATATCTACCAGTCCAATCTACTCAAGACCTTGGATTCCAGCAGCCAGACTGTCTTCCAACGAAGTCCAACCATCCCTGCCGAAGAACTCTCTCAGCAGCGCCTCCGCTTTATGAGCCGGGAGAATAACAGCCTCATCATGTCCCTCATTCGCAGGGGCGTCCGGAATCAACTTGTTGTGTGGTCTCAACTTTCGCAAGACCTGAATATAGTCGGCCCAGTTCTTCGATGCCGCAAAAGCAAAGATCCGTTGAGCCTTCACTTTCTCACCAAGAAGTGCAATTAGATGGAGACGGGCCACGTCTTCGACATCTACATACCATTCTACACGATCGATGAGATAGGCGTTAGAGGAGACGCAAAGAAATCATAAATTAGGGAAGGGTAGGTCTTACGGGGCGGGAAAAGACTGAATGCAGTAGGATCTCCTTGGAGAACCTTGCGGGTGTAGCCCATGGTTGAACCGAAGATCTCTGGATGGAGGATTCTGCCCAGCTATATGGCAATATCGTTGCGTCAGACGCGTCCTACCTTTCTTGATAGGTAAAAGGCGGGAGGTGGGACACTCACGTTGAGATCCGGAAGCACCGTGTTGAAGTCGAAATGAGGATGGTTCTCTTCAACCCATTTCCAAGCGTACCTTTCCGATTCGGCTTTAGACGCAGAATACACGATGTACGCCTTTTCTTCGTCAGGCGTCGTCGGGTCCCAGGCGGCCCTTATGGCGGCTTCATTCCAGGTGTCTAAATAATAGTCAGACAACCGTATTTCTGACTGACTTTTGCAAGCGATACTTACTCTCATCTATCTTCACGCCGCGGGTACTAGCCCGAGTAGCTGTATAACAGGCCCTCGAAGAAGACGTAAGGACGACCCTTCGTATGGTTGAATGTTTCGATGCAGCCTCGAGGATTGTGCGGATTGCATCGATCACCCAGGGAATGACCGCATCGGGATTTGAACTGAAGGTCAAATCAGATGCCTACGGTATGTCAGTCAGAATAAAATGAACAACGCAACCCGTGGGGGACAGATGCTACCGACCATGTGGATAACCCCCGACACGCCCTGCAGCGCATTGTCTACGCTCTGAACATCGCTAAAATCGGAGACAATCGTCGTCTCAAAACGTCCTTTGCCGTACTTTGCGTCGAAGAATTCGTTCAGCCATGGTTTAGGAGTGCGGACTGTGCCGCGGACTCTGTAGCCCTGCTCCAGTAGTTTGTCTACAGTATGCGATGCGATGAAGCCGTTGGCGCCGGTGACCAGGACTGTCGCGTCCGTAGGGAGGATGTACGAAGGACTTATTTGTGCAGTCTAGGTAGAGATAGTTTCTGGACAGGTTCTTTTGAGAGTTATCTCCCGGGGAGGAATGCACCATGGTGAACCATGGTCTTATAACTGAACTTCCGCCCATCATACCATATGTATTTATAAGCGACTCAGTCTGCCTGTGTCTCGCCCGTCACATGCAAACCCCGAGATATCCCTAAATATACACACGGAGACTTATGACTTTCATATTACGTTAGGACTCCATATTTGGGATCGTAGTCGTAAATCTAGTAGTGGACCACGCAGGGGTAATTCCTGGTAAGTCGATCTTCCCTGAGTTCATCATCCATTTGACTGACCCGCGGCTTAGTGGATCATCTAGTTTAGACAGAGCCTCGCTCCGGATTAGAAATCAAGGCTCCACAATAAGGCGTGATATAGGGCGTACCAAAAAGTCTCCGCTTCGGAGACTTTACCCGGGGGTTCTTAGGATGCTGCCATCGTCGCCTAGAGTAGGTATGTAGCATCAATATGCAAGTCATTCACAAAACACAATTGAGAGTCCTCGCGGACCACCACATCGCCTGGTCAAATGTCATTGGTATGTGCTTGGAGTCCCCTCTCTGATTCTTACTATAGGCCTCAACTGGATTGGAGGAAACGTGGAGTGTATATAAGTTGAAACTGTCGTAGTAGATATGGTTCTCATTCATGTTAACACACATTTGGCCTTTCAGAGCTTTGCTTAAAGCTAGGAACTAGAGAACTATCATTTGAGGACATTGTGTCGTTCATGTTAAAGAGTTTGAGACTTCGGGCCACCCTTTGGAAGAAATTAACCGTTCGCATTCTGTAGTGACTAGAGCTGCTCATGCGATAGACAAACGCATAACACGGAAAAAAGAAAGAAAAAGTGGGAAAATAAAATGAGAGTACGAAATTACAGATAGCCTTCGTTCTCTCCACTTGTCTCTTTCAACCCCCGCTGTTCTTTTTGTATTGATATTAATGTAAAGCAAAATTCCCATCCATCAGTAGCTCGAGAGAAGCCCATCCTCTCCCACCTAAGCGTCAAGTATTCTGGCAAGCTCACAACCCCATCCGTTGATCTATTCTCAGGCATCAGTAAGTTTATTGGTAACGAATGTCCACCAGTCACTAGACTTACCGTAGGAGGTAGCATCATTGAGAAGTGATTGCCGTCAGCCGGAACGACTCCAACATCCTCCAGGACCTCGTCCCATTCAAATAATTCACCGCCGGCGCGGTCATTCAGGAACCAGTCCACAAGTTGCTGTTCAGCCGGCTGTACTTCGGGTCGAGCCACCTCATCCTGCTTATCCGCCCCCTCTCTCGCTGAGAACAATACAACTTGTGGCATATTCCGACCCGGTAGCTTACTCACTTGATACATCGATAGTTGTTGCCTTGACAGAGTGAAATGATCGCTCGCGATGGGCGAGCTGCGCTTATTTTCTTGGTTATCGTTCTCGCTTATCACGCCGAAACGGTTGATAGAATCTAGAAAGCCAACCAGTACATCCGGCATAGAGCAGGCGAATGTGGGGCGCGAATGTGGGGCATGCCGTGTCGATAAGGAACATTCTCTCGACTTCGTTGTCATATTAAAGAAGTTGTCGTGCCACTTTAAATGCCAACACCCCGCCGACTGAGTAACCGCCCACCATATAAGGGCCCTCTGGTTGCCGATGTCTAATCTCGGCCACGTAGAGGCCGGCAAGCTCCTCAATAGAGAGGACTCGGTTCGAATCAGGCTTAACCTTGAGAAACGGGCTGTTGAGCGTATAGACGGACACATGCCTCGCATGAGAGAGCAACGGCGCAAGGGCACTGAACACAGCACCAGAGCTGAATCCATCCGGGATCAGGAACAGGTTGCGGTCCCTCGAATCAGAACTTGCTTGGTACAACAACATCGAGGTTGCCTTTGCAGGACATGCTTTCTCCGGCTCAGCCACCATGCCACAAATTACTCGAACACTCCGGGATTCACGACTCGCACTCTCCGACCAGTCAACATGTGCAAAACCTGCATCTCGCATCACCCGCTCCCAATCCCATGGGCTCTGTAGCGCGTACTTGCGGCCATCATCAAAGAACCACCAGCCGTCCAACAAGCCCCAGTCTAGGTCATACCAAGCCAATCTTTGCGTCGACTCTACCAGCACCACGCATCCGTCATTCGGCTGTACCAGCTTGCGTATGTTGCTTAGGCTGTGCCGTAGGTCGCGCGTTGCGTGCACACAGTTGCTCGACACCACGATGTGGTAACGCCCCAACAGCTCCTCGGGTGGGTCTTCCTCGATGTTGAGTTGTCGAAACCCCATGCCTGAGATGCCCTTGAACGTGATTTTGGCACGTGCCAGCAATGATGCTGAGAGCTCGGTGAATGTGTATTTAAAAGGGAGCCTAGTGGCCTGGAGCAGTGGGATAAGGTGCTTGGTGGTCCCACCTGTACCGCCGCCGATTTCCAAGACATGTAAAGGCTCACCGGTTGAAGCTTGGGAGTGGATGATCGCGGAGAAGAAGTCGCAAAGCAACTTTGTGGCAGCCAAGAGGTTGGGTGCATTGGCGTAGAAGTCGTCCAGGAGGCGGCGACCTTTATCGGTACCAAACAAAAGGGAGACGGGGTTTAATTTGCCGGTCAAGCACTCTGCTAGGTGTGGTCCAAGGAGGCCGAGTAGGCCATGCGTAGATGCGTATTGAGGAAACTCCGAGATGAGTTCCATAACTCGCTCCTGGCCAGAACCTCCCCTTCTGTCACCGTCTAGGCGTGCAGAACCGCGTATGAAGTTATCTCCTGTTTTCTCGACTAGGCCGACCTCTTCCAGGATCTCTCATAGCCGGAGGACCTCTCTATGATACTTCGGCAACGTCATTTGCAGGTCAGGGAGCTTCTCCCCTTGGTAGAAATCCCTAACGGCACAGCCGAGCTTCTCGAAGGTTTCAAGAATAAAGGCTGTCACAGTATCCAACTGTGGTGGGTATACCTGATCCCAGTAGCCAGTGAACTTAGTATCCTTCGCATGAGCGTCGAAGTTGCAGCAAATCTGTTGGAAAGTTGTATGTATCGACGCTGTATGACCTTTGACTAAGGTTGACTTCTCACTCCCTGTTGGTGTAGTTGCACCTGTATCTAAGGCCTTAGAGGAACCACTTCTAGGAGTGCACTGTGTGTAAGGAAATGTTGGATAAACTGGTCGTAGGAGTCCATACCGATGTGTTACCACCAGTGCCCGCAATATAATCACAGAGAGATACCACATCAGCCATTGAAGCGAATTCGGTCGATGATATATGGAGACCTAGGTCTTTGTTCAGGTTGCTGATAATCTCCGTTGCAACAAGAGACTCGGCACCGAGATCCTCGAGTTTCGAATCCATCTGAATGTCTGTGACTGGTATGTGGAGAGACTGGCCAAGGATTTGGAATACCGTCTTCTGCCACGTTGGGGTCCCGTCATCGGCGGTTACCTGTATGGAGTTTGGCTCCTGGCCTCTACAGTCGACATCGCTGCTAACGTCGCCATCCATCCTGGAGAAGATCATTTCACATAAACACGCGACGTTTGTGGCTGTTGTCACATCATCAGTCGAAATCTGGATTTTAATTTGTCACGGAGGTTAGCTATGATTTCTGAGCCGACCAACGAGTCTACACCAAGCTCTTCTAGCATGGCCTGATTTGTGACCTCTGCAACTGGGATGTCCAGGGACTGGCTTAAGACTTCTTGGACGCCACACAGAACACTGGCTGAGCTTGTCTCACCCCTGCTGGAATTCTCCCGGAACGTAGTAGAATCTACTTGGTAAGGAGTCTTGGGTGGCGATGGTTGAGCAGCAATGTTAGATGGCCCCACGGGATTGTTGAACTCCATGCCAGGATTGGCTCCTGTCAGCACTTTAGCTAGCGAGTCACGAGGGACCCTCGAGAACTTCAGCCCCTTGGCAGACAAAACAATATTCCTAGTGTGCGTGTCAAACACAAACACGTCCAGAACAGTCTCTTTGTTGTCCTCAAGGATAACGTTTGTGTATACTCTGTACTTCCGCTAGCTCGTAGCCCGTTCAGGGGTCCTACTGAGTCTATGCCAGTACAGATGCAAGATGTGCTTCTAGCCTCTTCCTCATCGGTATCTCGCAACAACTGTATGAATGCATCTGCCACTTGTAAAAGGCTGTCCACGACGACCGGATCCGAAATGCCGTCGTTCGGTGTCCTGGCCATCGCATTAATGTCATCCACGGACGCTGTGATCTCCCCAGCGCCTTCAGAGCCCTTTGCAACCAAGTAGCGTACACCCCGGTAGGTTGGCGAGTATGTGACCATTTCACGGAACACCTTGTACACCATCGCGCCGCGCAAAGCTTCCGTGTTTTTATCTTTCTCTAATAAGTTGGTGATGCGGGCCCACTTGTCCCTTTTGGCTCGTACTTCCTCCACGCTGCCATTGCTATTGTTTCGCAATGAGATGCTCCCCGTAGCATGCGAGATTGACCTAACATTCTTAGTAGGGAATAATTCGAAGTCCCACATCCCCTGACTCTTCTTAGCCAAGACCAAACTGACAGAACGTTCCATGTCCAGACCCAAGGGTGCCTTGATATTGACGGCATCTGCTACAATGTCCGGGATACTAGTTGATGACCACTCTTCGTGCAGCAAGGCGACCGCGTGCGAGGCTAGTTCCAGGTACAATGATGCTGGACATATCGGAGACCCAACCACGACGTGGCATGAATCTGAATTAGCAAATAAGCTTATATCTGGCTCTGTCGTTTCCTGTAAACGGCAAACCATTGTTACTTGCTTTTGTTGGAGCAGTCACACATAGGCTTGCTTCATTTTACACTTCAGACCCCAACTACCGGCGAGTCTGATATACTGCTATTATCTATGAACCATAGTTTTCGGTAACTTAGAGTTTGCAATAATCTACCCTTAACCACCGTTTCGCTGTCCATCTCAAACCAGCTGGGTGACATTGACAATATGCAGATGATGTGGCTAGCCATCTAAGCAGCAATCATTGCGAACTTCCTCCGCATTTTCTACGCCTGGTGACATCGAAGAAACATCTGGGACTCTTCCTCCCCAGTACTACTAATCTCCCAGGAGATTCGGGGATGGTAACTAGCCACACTTATCTCTATCACCACGCAATCCTATGCCAACAATAGCAACGTTGTAAGCATCAGACCTCGCCTGGTATCCTTCAGCAAGCTTGAGAGGATTCCGACGCTTTATCCATCCCGTCCTGGGCTTCCCAAGGTGCGTATGGAATGCTCTGCTTGTTAACAGTGCTTGAATAAGTGCGCTTCGAATAAATGCAAAGCAACCGATATATTGAACCTCACTCTAAGCACGAAGAGTACAGTCACTTGAGAACCTGCGCCACACTCAACGGAGCATATAGAGAAAAGTCCATGAAACTGCGATAGGTTTGAAACGTCGAAGAGTCGAGAGGCTTGGGATACGTCAAGCGCAATTGGACGTCCGGTCTGAGCGGGATTCCCTTTGCTGCAATATCAACGCCTGGGTCGTAGAGTTCTGGGTACGTGCCGAAGAACGCAGGATCCATCTTGTAATGTGATATTCCACGATCGATATACAGCTTTTTGAACACAGCTCGCGCGTATTCCGGAGATGAGAAAAGAGTAGCAGCATCAGGAGCAGGAAGCACGGCAGAAGGCTGCGGCTCACTTCCCGGTGTCGTTGAGGGGATATTCGCAATTACATCGGTTACTCGGATGTAGGCTGTCACAGCGGGAGCGCCCATGATAAGATCGGCCATGTTTGCCTCGATGACATAGCTGCTGACGGTGTCGCAGAATATTTGGTCGATCTGAGGGTTGGCTGCGTGTAGTCGGATGAGACGGTTTCGGATCGAGGGGAATGGTATCCAGTCAATGACCCGGGGGTATTGTTGTTGCAATTGCACTTCCGTAGGTCTGTATTGCTCGTGGACCTTACTTAACGTTCTTGTGCAGGGATAGATCTGCCATGCTGTCAAGTCGACTATGTGGTAGAAGCGCGTTTTCGCATACCACGCCATCACATCCGGTCGGGTTATACTGTTGAACAGAGAAAGTACCATGAGGACTTGTTGGTAGAGACTGCACACCATAGCACGATCAGCAATATGCACAAGAAAATATGCATTTTTGAAGCAACACACAGTTGTGGAGAAGGCTCGAATAACGGCCTAATGAAGTCCAATTTGCTTTTCAGTAATTGCTGGAGGACTTGAATGTGATCCGAAAATGGAGAGTTGGATTCGGTCCAATCTTTGCCGAGTGTGACACTGAATTGCTGGCTGCACGATAAGGCATTCACGTACGGCTGTAAGCCCATTTGATACTCAAAAGACCAAATATTCGGTAGCTGGTGGCTCAAACTATTTGCATGTGGTGAAAGACTCCCCAAGGCAAGGATATCATGATCGAACTCTGGAAATGAGTTATCACATCGCGCTAGACTTTCATCGAGAGGGTGAGGTATGTTGTCTACAGAGTCATCTAAACCTGACGACTGGTCTTGTATCGAAACGGTGTGAGTGGCACTGCAAGCTGATGTGTCCATTGCGGAATAATCATATGCTGTGATATCCACATCTATGTCCTTAGGAGTTTCTTGCCCCGAAGAAACCGAGTCAGTCGCCTCCACCTTGTCAGTTGATGCGACCTGTGATGGTTTATCCAGCACAGACGACACGGAACCGGAGAGAGCTTGCATCGTCGTGATAACCCTAGATAGCTTCGACTGGACATCAATAAGCTGTCTTCGCAAACGTACGTTTTCCTCCCGTAGCGCATGGATAACCTCATTCTGCGGGCGATCGCCTGAGTCGGCACGATCCCGGAGGTTTCTCAGATACTCTGCCTGTCGACGACGGAATGCCCGCTGAGCCAGGCGATTCCGGAGTTTCCTACAAATTTTCCATTGAGTGGTTGAACAGAGTCTTGACTGTGGTAGAAACATACCGTTTCTCCTCGTCGTCATCCGTGCTGTCCAGCTTTCTCTTGCTGCTTTCGCGGGTAGACCTCTTCGGACTCATGACTATCAAACCTTCTCAAGCAAAATTTAATCAAGTGTAATTGGCTTGCGCACAAAGAGTCATGGAGGATCTGTTGATTAGAACAAGTGGGGATTGTTTAAAACTAGGGCTCGTATTCCCGATATTGATCGGGTTTGGACGGCCTCGGCAATATTGATAGGCTTTGGCATATCTTTTCGAACGGAAATACTTTCCGCTAAACTAAAACAAGATTACTCGATAATTGTGGTCTTATAGAAAAGTTGACTAGAATTATTCTACATCTACAATATCCTGTCCATAGTCCTTAGAGAACATCAATATGTAAATTCAAATCGCTAATGTCATACATATCGCCATCTAACAACATCTATTGACAGGTCTTTTCCAAATAAAAGCAAAAACCTTACGAGACAAGCTATACACGGATAACCCTAGGGTCCCGGCGCGCTCTCCACAGTAAGCGTGCCTGTTTTAGAGATCAAATACTCTTCGATGGCGACGTCTTTGCCTGCCTCCTTGCCATATCCAGACTCCTTAATCCCACCGAACGGAGACTCCGCACACGAAGAGTTTCCTGGACACGCTGTTAGCGCTCAACTCATCCCCAGCCAACAAAAGAAGCACAACTTACCGGTGTTCATGCCAATCATGCCTGCCTCAAGATTTTCAAGAAGCCTCCAGGTCCGGTCAACGTTCTTGGTAAAGAAGTACGAGGCCAAACCCATAGATGTGTCATTTGCCATCTTGACAGCTTCCTCCTCAGTCTCAAACCTGTGCAAACCCAGCAAAGGCCCGAAAATCTCTTCCCGAGACGCCAGCATCTCAGGGTTCATATTGGCGATGATCGTGGGCTCGAAGAAATAGCCTTGAGGGCCATTTGGTTGCTTTCCACCACAGAGAACTTTGCCGCCCTTGCTGACCGCATCGGACACAAGGCTCTTCACCCTCTCAACACCACGGTCGGTCGTAAGTGGTCCCATGGTGGTAGCTGAATCAGTTCCGTGCCCGACCTTAAGTTTCTGGGTCGCTTCTAACATCATCTGCGCAAACTTATCGTAGACACCCGCTTGGACATAAACTCGATTGGCATGGGTACAGGCTTGGCCGGCGGTACGCCACTTGAGGATCATCAGGGCGGCCACTGCTTGTTCCAAATTTCCGTCGTCAAAGACAATGAACGGGCAATTTCCACCCAGTTCCATGGTAACCTTCTTCAGTCCATCGCTGCAATGCCTTGCGATAATGCTTCCCACCCTTGTACTGCCTGTGAAAGTTACCTTGCGCACCAATGGGTGTTTGCAAAGCCTTTCACTGACTGATGGTGTGTATTCGTTGTCGGTTGTGATAACATTGAGAACACCTGGTGCTAAACCTGCGCGAAGGGCAAGATCTGCAAGGGCCATCACACTCAGGGGAGTTTCTGGGGATGGTTTGACAATCATAGTGCATCCCGCCGACAAGGCGGCTGCCACTTTGCGAACGATCATCGCAACAGGGAAGTTCCAGGGGACCAAAGCCACACTCACGCCAATGGGCTGCTTTATGACAAATGTGCGACGGTTAGAGACTGAAGGCAGTGCGATCGAACCGCGAACCCTCTCGGCCTCTCCAGCGAACCACCAGGCAAACCCCAGTGCGTAGTCCACCTCACCTATGGCTTCGGCCATGGGCTTTCCGGTTTCGTAGACCACGATTGTAGCAATATCTTCTCGAGCATTTGTAATCAGCTCGTGCCATTTCAGAAGAAACTTGGCTCGTTCGCGTGGGTTGACATGACGATAGCGTTCGAAGGCCGCATGCGAGGTCTCGACGTATTTGTCCACATCCTCTGGGCCGTTCGTTGGGCAGGTTGCGAAAACGTGTCTGGAGCCGGGGTCTGTAAAAGAGGACAGCGTGGGTTAGCAAACAACCATCATAGCCCTGATGGAGTGGTAGGCTCACCCTCGATGTCAAACCTTTTGTTAGATTGGGCCGCAACCCATTCACCATTCAGCAACGAGGCCTCATGGAGCAAGGATGGATCATTCAACTGCTGAAAAGTCAACTTAATGTAGCAAGATACTCAAGGATTTGAATACGGACGGTAAATGGTCTTGGTGACATGTTTAATATAGTAGACTTCCCAGGCGATACTAGTACTGTTGCGATAGTCACAGAGGCCTACTTGTGTGGAGTTCTGGCAGGCTTTATATCCTAAATGCTATCATAATATTCTCGCATCCTACTACAACTATTTGTTTCTCTGCTCAACTATCAGCAATGCCGAAGCTTTGAGGACATGGTTGGTGGGTCCGTTCCCACGTGTGACCAACCCAGCTTGACTCTCTCGTCATAGAACAATTATGTCAACGCAAAAAACTTCCAATACATTGCCTATTGAACTACAAACATTGGCCAGCGTTGTGTAACTGTTATCTCTGTCAGAGTTTACAATTCCGTCCTCTGTCATTCCCATTTTACGTGTTCTTTGAAGACGGTCACCTGCCATGGCCATGGGAGGGTCATTCTAGCCATTCGGCATTGTTAATCAGCGTTATATTAGGTAAGTTTTCTGCTGGGGAAAACATTTGTCATGTAACTAGGTTCTTGTTTCGGTGATGGCGAAGTTCTTTGAAAGTGTCTGGAGATGCTCGATTCAAGTTTCGCATATACGGCCGTTTGAGCGAATATATAAAGCTCCGATAATGTTGCCTACTTCCACCCGTTAAACAAAAACTACTACCAAATATACAAGGCTCAACGCATAACCCTACACAAAATAAATATCATGGCTACCACTCCGGATGAAGTCTGCATAGCCGTTATAGGTGAGCACGAGTAACTACCCCATCCCTTATGACAGCAATCCGTCACCCACCAACTCCGTAGCTGACAACTAATAAACAACAGGTGCCGGCGGAGTTGGCTCCTGTTTCCTGAAACAGCTATCATACTTAAACAAGACACGGCCCTCCCCCCGTCTTCGCCTATGCTACATCGCAATCATCGACAAGGCCCTGCACCACGCCGATTACTCAGAGATCAACATTGATACAGCCCTCGACGCGCTCGAAGACCAGGGCCAGGCACCACCCACCATCTCCTGGATCATTGACTATCTCTCCGCCGCCCCATCCAATGTGATACTCGTCGACAACACCAGCGCCAACAGTCTCGCAGAAGCCTACCCACAGTTCCTACGTCGCGGAATCAGCATCATCACTCCTAACAAGAAGGCCTTTTCAGGAAGTTACCAGTTATGGGAAGATATCTTCAGCTCCGCAGCCGCCGGACACTCCTACATTTTCCACGAATCCTCTGTTGGTGCTGGATTGCCGATTATTTCGACTCTGAAAGATCTCATCATCACTGGTGATGAGATTACTAGGATTCAAGGTGTCTTCAGCGGCACGATGTCCTTCCTCTTCAACTCATTTGCACCAACAGAGGGTCAAGGCGAGAAATGGTCCGTCGCCGTCCGGAAAGCCAAACAGTTGGGCTATACAGAGCCCGACCCGCGCGACGATCTGAACGGCCTCGACGTCGCTCGCAAGCTCACTATTCTCGGTCGGTTGGCAGGTTTGCCTATTGAATCCCCGACGTCCTTCCCTGTTCAGAGCTTGATCCCTCAGGAGTTGCAAGGCGTGTCAAGTGGAGATGAATTCCTTGACCGTCTTCCGGAATTTGACCAGCAGATGGAAGAGCACAAGACTGCGGCCGAAAAGGAGGGCAGGTTTGTACGGTTTGTTGGAAGCATCGATATGGCCTCTCGGGAGGTTAAGGTGGGAATAGAGTCGTTTGAGAAAACCCATCCTATCGCGGCACTACAGGGAAGCGATAATATTATTAGCTTCTATACGAAGCGATACGGCGACAACCCGCTCATCGTTCAGGGAGCGGGTGCCGGTGGTGATGTGACTGCAATGGGTGTGTCGAGTGATCTTCTTAAGGTGCTTTCTCATATTGCTTGGTAGATTTGGTGTCATGATATTATGAATAAACTTTTCATGTAAAATGACATTCTCTCTGACAGCCGTGTGTAAGGAATTATATATATTTCTGGATCCATATATACTTCACATATATTGCACTAAAACAAACTTAAGAAATATATTGTCAAAAAGGAAGCAAAAAGATATCAATAGTCAGTGTGGCCGAGTGGTTAAGGCGATAGACTAGAAATCTATTGGGTTCGCCCGCACAGGTTCAAATCCTGTCGCTGACGTTTTTTTGGTTCCACCGATTTTTGTATCGGTGGAGCACACCCATGCTACCATTACTACGGAGCATCGGATGGGCATATCGAAATGCATTTATTCCCTACTCTTAATAATAAGCGCAGATTCTTGTCGAACAGAAATAGCACAGTTGCAGTATCAAAAATAATCCCTCCTATACCATTACAAACTGAAAAGTAACATTTGACAAACGTATGCTCAATACTTTGTACAGGTATCCACTTCCCGTCGAAGCCAATCTCAGCCCGTAGTACATACTCATCGTGACTATAAATAATAACAATAACATATCCTACCCACGAGACTAATGCCGAGACCCAACCCCCAACTCCAAAGATATACTCACAAAAGAACCTACTCAAGCAAAGGCCTCATATCCCTCATAAAAATCTCCACCGTCTTCGGCCCAACCCCCTTAAACTCCTGCAAATGCACCTCCAATTCCTCAACACTGCCGAACCTTTTCAACATCTCTCCAAAGGTACCATACTCTTCCTTAATAGCCCCCGCCACATCAAGCAATTTCGTCGCAGTCGAAAAATCATACCGGACGTAATGACCTTCATCCAAGATCTCGACTAGTCTATCCCATCCGGCTGCGAGGATAGCATCCGGTGAAGTAATGCCTTCCTGCACGAGCTCAAGGAAGGCTCGCTTCGCGACACCTTGCTGGACTGGCTTGCCGAATAGGAGACATGCGAGGAACCATTTGAAGTATTCTGTTTCGGTTCTTGATGAGAGATTAATGTCAAGTTCGGTTGCTTGGATTTCTTTTTTGGGGGACATGGTGGGTTAGATGTATGGGTTGTTGTTTGGGTTAGGGTTATGGGGGTGGTAATTGTTGCGGGATGATATTGTTATGAGGTCATGTGGGCACGTGGCTGTGAACAACCACTTTGATAGTATTCAGCGTAATACCAGTAGATGTTAAATGTGGCCTTTCTAGTCTAGTGTAAGTGTTTGTGGTTTTTCGATTTTCTTTAATAGATCATATAGTGTGATTAGTAACTGTGAGACACACAAGATGAACATTTACTTTAAAGACACTCTAGGAAGAGCGTATAAAGGCACCTGTGTAGAACAAATAGAATAGAATAACTCAAAAGTTCAAGTCGACACCTATGAACCTTCGTTGAACTCGAAACCTCAATGATCGTGTCCTGATTTGCATGTAGATAGAGTCTGCTATAAGAACATCTTCATGCTAATCATACTGAGAACGCCAGAAGCAATCCCCCAAATATGCGATCAATACTGTATGCACATTGATTTAGATCAAAGTTAAGACCAATATTAACTCCGCTGAAATGAAAATGTATGTGGGGGCAGCAAAAATGATCCAAGTGTCGCATTTCCCTGCTCTGTATATGCTGGATATAAGCAAAGCTAAGACTTCGGATATATATCATGTCTGGACGCTATCACAGTAACAAGAAGTATCATGGATTGTCACCTCCAACGTTCTTTAATCTCATATTTTATCTTTTTCCTATCTCCGCGGACCTCCGCGGGGATAAAGATCCCTTGCTAATTCCCAACATGTTCGAACGCCGCGCCAATGTCTCCAGAGAGAAAAATATAGAACAAAGGAAAAGAAAACAAAGAGAGGGAAAGCTAGACAAAGGAAAAAAGCATTGCACCAAAAAACACAAACCGGCATCTTGCCCTTATTGTATTTGGCAGTTTCCCGAGAAGCCCTAAAAGACCGATCAACATTTTACATGCAGATGCGATGCAACGTAAGGCGGTTAAGGTAAAACTCAACAGCAAAAGGAAATTGCAATCAAAATCTGTAACTGGCAGATCATAATCTAGCTACAGATATCCCGATGGGCAATAGAAGTAAGGGTGTTGCGCGATCGGCACTCAATCAATAATTTCGTGTATGTAATGGAAATGAAGAATGCAGGATCTTGGGGAGAGACGATCAGCCGTTGCTTGGCTGAGACCAAGAAACTGGGCTAAGATCCATGACTCCAAACTGATATTGACCCGGATTAAACTCGTCCCTGTGACAGGGGTCGAGTTGGAGTTCCGCGATTAGGGCAATGAGTCAACGGGCCGCTAAAATTTTTCATCACATAACATAAACCGTTGCCCTTATTCGATGGACATTCCTTTCCATCCCCATTGAATTGAACCCTTGCTACCGCGTCAGCCACCACTTGACTGAAAATAAGCGTCAGAGTTTTTGTTTCTAAAAGACTTCTTTTAGCCGCTTTCAGCAATTTAGCCTATTTGCCACCCCTTCTGCAGCATTATGGGCGCCCGCGATGAAACAGCCCAGACCACGAATGACCCATCCCCCACGCCAATTGAGCCCCCACCCGACGGGGGACTCAATGCCTGGACACAGGCAGTGATGGGACACATGGTGTGCTTCAACACATGGGGATACATCGCTAGCTTCGGGGTCTTCCAAGCGTACTACCAGAGCAGCTTAGGTGTATCCTCGTCAGCAATTTCATGGGTCGGATCCGTACAAATCTTCCTGATCTTCTTCATCGGCACGTTCTCAGGCCGTGCACTAGACGCCGGGTTCTTCCGCCCAGTCTACTACACAGGGGTCCTCCTGCAGCTACTGGGGGTCTTCATGACCTCGCTCGCGACCCGCTATTGGCAGCTTTTCCTGGCTCAAGGTATCTGCACCGGCCTGGGCAGTGGACTGCAGTTCTGTCCCGTAATGGGATTGGTCGCGACCTACTTCGCCAAGCGCAGGGTCTTCGCCTTGGCATTTGGTCTCGTCGGAAGTGGAACCGGAGGTATGCTCTTTCCCGGCCTTGTCAAGGCCCTCATGCCTGTCATCGGGTTCGCCTGGACCCTCCGTGTCCTGGGCTTCGTCATGCTCGGTACCAGTATCCCCGCTATAGCCTTGCTCAAACCCCGGCTGCCACCGCGGAGGTCTGGCCCCTTCGTTGAGTGGTCGGCTTTCAGGGAACCGGCCTACGTGCTCTTTTGCGTCGGCATGTTTTTGAATTTCTGGGGCTTGTATTTCGCATTTTACTACGTGGGGGCGTTCGGTCGGTCGGTTATTGGGCTGTCGTATTCGGATTCGACTAATCTCATTATCGTTACCAATGGTGTCGGTATCGTGGGTCGTCTTATCCCTGCGTTTTTGGCAGATCGCTACTTTGGACCCCTCAATACTATTATCCCGCTGGCGTTGGGTGCCAGTCTGATGATGTTCTGCTGGGCGGCCGTGCACTCGGTCGGGGGATTGTATGCCTTTGCCGTGCTGTACGGCATGTTCTCCAATGGCGTGCAGGGCCTGTGGCCGTCCACATTGTCCAGTCTGACTCCGGATCTCAGCAAGACTGGGGTCCGCATCGGAATGGGATTTACCGTGGTGAGCTTCGCTTGTTTGACTGGTCCCCCTCTCGGCGGGGCCTTGATTGCTAGGGCGGATGGTTACATTGGAGCGCAGATCTGGGGTGGTTTGACCTTTGTATTGGGCGCGTGCGTCTTGATCACAGCGCGAGTGTCGAAAACTGGCATGCAGATGAAGGCTAGGATTTGACAAGAGTACATAGATTCCGGTTGTATTTAGATCTGCCGCGGTTATTGCGGACTATTGCGGGGGCAATCGACTAGTCTTGTGGTATTTATATTAAGATTATCCGGTCCCGGTCAGCGATGGCTGCTGATCGTCATTCTCCACTGTGACCAGAAGAACAGCTACGACAAAGATTTTTCAAGCTTGGCAGTGATATTCTTCGTATAGGTTATAACTTATGCACGAGACATATCACAACAAGACTCCACAGTCTGACATTGCATCGGACCGCCGGAGAGCGCGACGGACATACGGCTTGGAAGATCCCTTCTAAGCATTAACGGCTCTAGTTCCGTGACGAACACAGGATGAGATTATACAGGAGAGCTCCGATGGTGACACTGCCAACGCGCGGGACAAACTTGGACGCCACCTCTACCACATTAGCCTCGAAATTCTGTCCATTATGGTTAGCGGGACCTATTCAAGACCTGGTTCTGACAAACCCCATAGCGCAAGACACGTACCTTCTCCGAAGAAACATTGACACAGATGGCGCCGCGCTGAAGCCACTTCGTATTCACCTTGAACGCGGGATCTGGAACAGCCGAGATGACCACTCGAGACCGCTGCACGGCGTCCCACACACTCCAGTTGGGAAGATCCTTTCCGTGCAGTCCTTCGGAGTGCCAAGGATAGTACAGGCGTTGGAAGAGCTGGACACCGGAGATGTCCACACTGTAGACGCGTGCGCCCTCCCCCGCGAGTAACTGCGCGAGGGGCAATCCCACTACATCAGACCGGTTAATGATGCAGATCTCTTGGTTCTGCAGTCGCTCCCCCGCGGGCCGTGTCCGATCATGCACGTCCATCCACTCCAGGATCCACGTAACCGCCCTTGGCGTGCAGGGGATAATTCTTCGTCCTTGTTTTGGTGGTGGTCTGGACACTTCTGCAATGTCGGAGAACCGGGGCAAGCTCTGATGGTTGAGTCCTTCGACGTCCTTGCTAGGCGCGACAAGCTGTCGGATCTCGTCGTCTCTCTTGTCACCGAAAATTGGGTAGTACACGATGATACCATGGACGCTGTTGTTGGTGTTGATTGCCCGAATATAGGTTGCCACATTTTCGGGTGACAACCTCATCAGGTGGAAATATACTCCGCTAAGCATGCATATCAGTGACATGGGTTGGAATCCTTCTTGGCTTATTCTGTCAAGCTTACATTTCTTGACAGGTTTTGCGAGTCCAGTTTGCATACTGGTTAGACCCAACATCATCGCTGGCCAAGACACCCATAAGGAAGAGTCGCTTTGAGGAACCTTTCAGCATTTCGGAGATCTGGTGGTGTGCCCTTTTGGCTAGATCATCCGGCTGAATAGTTTCACCAACGCGTGGAGCCATTTTGAGGATTGCGGTACACCTTGTCGGATCGAGAATGCAATGGATGCTCAATGCCAGTGTAAGCGGAAACAAGGACGGTAGACTTCCGCGGTCTAGCCAGACCTTAAAATACCATAATCTACACTGTAAGCTCCCAACGTCGTGAAGTACGCGTACTCCACTCAACTGCGGACATCTTGACGTGAGAGTCTTCAGCCGTCTAGGCCCTGCAGCGGGAGCAGAATCATGCCGAACGCACCCCCTATACTGAGTCATGTGTGATCAGCCACCAGATGTCAGAGCATCGATATGAATCTATTGGTATATCGAACATCCCCGCTTTCGGACTCCGTGTAAAACCGTCTAGAACGTGCGTGTATTTCTGGAATAATGGGAGCTAACGAGCTAATGATCGCAAAAGCCGGACCTTCGTCCACGTAGAATTGATCCACTGATCCTCCCCTCCCTCAGCGCCTCGTTTCTTGACTGAAAACAAGTCATAGCAGCACGCGGCAGTAATGCTGACGCCAACGGTTACAGTGATGGCCCATCGTCTATCCCACTGATGGCTGAGGAGTCCGAATCCCCGCTGGGTTCTTGGCATCATCTATACGGAATAGACCCTGGCATGTTCGCGACACAACCCCTCCCTTAGTTGTAATGCACTCGTGTCTCTTTCTCCAATTGTCCCTCATTCTGCGAGATGCATAAGTGTTTTGTCCCCCACAAGGACATATAAACGGGTGGTCTCCTGCTGATATCAGATCCCACATCAATGGTGCCTTCACCACAAGAGCTCAACACCTTTTTAGCATGGGTTCAGCAGCATCCCATTTTTCTACTCCCTCCCCTCCCTCCAACGACCTCATTGTGGTTGGAAGCGGTGCGAGTGGAGTTGCAATTCTTCTTCAGCTGATTGAACGAGTCAAGAACGGGAAACCCCTGGGAGATGTTATTTTTGTGGAGAAGAATGGCCTCCCCGGGCCTGGCCTGCCATACTCGTCGCAGTGCGAAGGTACCATCCTCAATATGCATACGGACACGATGGGATTGTATCATGATAAACCCCTCGATTTTACTGAGTGGCGCACGGACCAAGAAAGTGGACCCTTCCCGTCTCGGGCGAGATATGGCCAATATCTCCAGGAAACGTGGGGACGGGCTTTGGAGGAAGCTCGACATATCGGACTGGGCGTTTCGGTGATTCATGAAGAGGCGCACGACATTGATCGACAGGCAGACGGTACAATGGCGTTGACTCTCCGTAATGGCACTCAATTGACGGCGAAATCTGTCGTCTTGGCGCTGGGAAACTTTACCTCGGTGTGCAACACGCATCTCGTCAATCTGCCCGGGTTCTTTCCCGGCCCGTGGCCGACATCGCAGCTCAAGACAATCCCGACTGACGCCTCTGTCCTCGTTGTCGGTTCACGACTGTCGGCTGTAGATGCAGCTATTTTCCTCTCGGAGCATGGACATCAGGGACCCATTACCTTTATGTCGCGCAGCGGCAGTCTGCCCAGAGTTCAGGGAGAATCGACGCCGTTCCCTCGACGCTATGCCTTGCATGACCTTGCAAAGAATATTGAAGAGAGTTCCGATGAGAACTTGCTGCAAGTAACGAGCACCTTGATGGAGGAGATCTTCCATGCTACCAACGGCGACTGGACCTGGCTCCACAATGATGAATCTCCTGTTAAACAGCTAGAGCACGATATTCAAGCCGCAAAGAGCGGCAACGTTGAATGGCAGAAAGTGCTGCGAGGCACAGCTCCCGTTATCGAGCGGTACTGGAACAGTCTACCTGCGAAAAGCCAACAGCTTTTCATGGACAAGTTCTTCAGTCCCTGGATGAGGTACCGCCATGGAATGCCGATACAGAATGCCGAAAAGATACTCGGTCTCTTGAAGAAAGGACAGCTACGGGTGGCTCAAGGTGACCGAGTACAATGGGACGGTATATTTAAAGCGCAGACCTCCATCGGGCTTCTGGAAGCTCCCTATGTCATTGAGGCGACCGGACAGGAATGCCAACTCGATCGCATCGAATCACCCCTGATTCAGTCCGCAGTGGGAAAGGGGCTCCTCAAACCTCATCCTGCTGGCGGTGTAGCTGTCGACTTTGACAGCCTCCGTGCATCAGAGGGCTTGCATGTCATCGGCTCTCTTACCCGAGGCACTCATTTCTACGTGAGTGCTATCGACCGCGTTGCTGCCCATGCCGCCCGGATCGCGGATGCCGTAACGGAAGAGCCCATCGCAAATCCTCTACATATTGCCATCTTCCTAGGAAGTGACCTCTTCTCGCATCTCATGGCCAGCACACTGGTCCCCCAGCTCCTCGCCGCCGGTCACACGCCATTCATCTTCCTCCCAGCACACAAAGCAAACCGCAAGACCACTCCGCCCTTCGAGCTCCGAGAACTGACATTCTTCGAGCGAGAACTACTGCAAAAACACGTCATCCCGTACTTTAAGAACGAAAAACCTGGCGGCGCACCACACATGACAGTTGAGCAAATGAAAGACGCCTATGGGATTGTCGTCCAGGAAGTGCCCAACGTCAACAGTGCGTCTTTTATCAAGACTCTTCGAAAACACCATATCGACGTGGGTCTCTCGTTGCGCTGCTACCAGCGGTTCAAGACAGATATCATCCGCTACTTCGACCGGCCAAGAAGGCTACTCAACCTACACCCAGGCGTCCTTCCCACTTATCGTGGCGTCATGACTACTGTCCGAGCTATGAAGAACAGAGAAACACTTTTCGGGTACTCCCTGCATGACATCGACGAGAACTGGGACGAAGGGGATCTTATCGATGTTCGTCACCATCCTATTGACTATTCCAAATCGATGTTGCATTTCATGAACGATGTGTATAAATTGGGGGCAAAGATGGCAGCTGATGTGTGTGATAATATCGCCCGCGGAAAGGAGCTATCCAATGTTCCGCAAAAGGCTGAGGAGAGCAACTATTATACATTCCCGACAAAGGAGGATCTGGAGGGCTACCGTAAAGATGGTATCCGTCTAGTTGATGCTGAAAGTATCGTCAACGTTATCGTGGAGTCGTTTGCGCCGCCGGATAAGCAGGAGAAGTTCCGGGCGCACATTGATGAGGTCGTTCACGAATGGTATGATAAGAATAAACCGTGAATCGGGCATTGACCGTTCGTTGGCATGTTCGAGTCATGGGGTTTGGCGTCTTTGATTTCGGTTGAGTTCTGCTAGTCGGAGTGTCAGGGTGATGGTTTTAAACTTTAACATATACACGAGTCAATGATAACATCTCCTAGTTTCCTTTTTCGCTAATTGCCTTGCGAGTAGTTTATTTTTAAGCTAGGAGGTTGAATACAATATTAATTTGTTTGCATCTATATGGAAGTTGTGTTGCTAGGGTTTTCTCAATACATGGTTGGAAGCACCCCCGGTCTATGAAGAATAACATGAACGAACTCGGTTGCAAAAAGGATGGTGTATAAGATTGGTGCTTTGGATCCAAGATATTGCAGAACGCCTGCTTCGATTTCGTTGTAAAAACCGCCTCCCAGGCATACGTTACATAGTCATAGACTAGTTTATTTCTTAATATTACCCTCTGAGGGGGTTGGTTGGACTGGAGGTGCAACAATGGAACTAGAATATGTCGGAGATTCAATAGGGATAGGTATCGTAACATGGGAGCCTACAAGGGGCGACGTAGGTAGAACAAAGTCAGGCAAAAAGGGAAAATATACCAACAGAAGTGCGAAATAGATTTGATCAAGATGACTCTATAGGTTCTTGGTATTTCCGATAGCGTTCGTAAATTATGTGCAGCAATCCCAGACCCAAGTATACTTGCCCGTCTCCGCAGGGAGAGTCCGCCTAACGTTTTTACTATGGTTACAGATGAGTGAAATACTCTGCCTCTGGGGCCAGCCTTGTAGTGATTCACTTCAGCTGTTCACGGGTCTTATATTTCACTAGGGGCATTCTAGCCCATCCACTAACCCCTGATCCCGCTCAAAGGGGCCCCTTGGTCATTAGGAAGATGCACGATTCCTAATTCTATTTAGTACCGGGATTAGAACGTGTATTGGGCGGACCTTGGTGGTAATCAATATTCTTAAAACACTCACTATAGTGCTAAGTTTGTTAGTTTTTTAGCCTATCGGGGCATGAAAAACTGCAATTGTTCAGAGTGCGGGAATTGGTGAGATGGTGGAAGAACCTTTGGTTGGAAATTTATGTCCTGGGCTGAGCGCCTCTCATGGCGTTGCCATTGTTCGTAGTTAAGAAACACTAATTTGTAGCCTAAGAAAACCTCAAAATCCCCCGGTTCGTGCCAGAACAATGAAAGTCGGGATTGAATTATTAAGACGCTGATTTTATTTAGTGAAGATGTTAGCGGCCAGGATCCCCCACGCATACCTGACAAACTTTCCAGTCTCCATCATTCTAATTGAGTATTTATCGGAACTGCTGAACGCCTGGAAACCTTCCAAGAAGCCTGACTCAAGCGAGACCGGCATAGATGCGTGGTCACCAGGATCTTTGTCGAGTGGAGGCAGTGAAACGACTGAAGAGGGACGGACGAGGGTACAAAAGACGACGACGGCAAATGCTTGTATAGATTTAGAGATCGCCCTCATATTCCCCCATTCTCTAATACCACTGAAGAATGGAGAACAGGCGCTGGTACGTACAATTATAACGTCAATCTTTGGTCCCTCACTTACACTGTACAATCTATATAATTGGAGGCTAAGAAAAGACCCCATAAGCTTCTGAGCATGTTCGAGCCCACGAGTGAGACTGATGTTGACCGACCAATAAATGTAACCACTATGACTAAGTGGACCACAAGTTGTTTGGTGACTTCGAGATCGCTTTTGAGCATATAATTGATCACACATACAAGATCGACTATGTAGATGCACCACTCCGTTCCAAAAAAAAAAAAAAAAAAAAAAAAGGGTATCTTGCACCAAATTGTACGTTCGGCATTTGCAGAGCTTAGAGACCCCAAAAGGCTATATTTTGATATTGCCATCTCTACGCCCTTGCTTTTGTCATATTGGGGCATTTCAAGAAATTCCAAGCATATCGATTGCCTAGTCTTTGGCTGCACCAGGACGCAATTCTATCGGACTTCCAGGTACACGTACACTGTTTCTTACTCCAGATCGAAGTATAGACACCCCTTCTGTTGGCTTGTTGAGGTTGCACTATGCCATAGAAAAAGTTTTACACATGAGCGTGGCGGGTAAGTATATTGACAATGTTCTCCAAAAAATGGATGAAACATACGGACGGCAACTCAACGCCGACGGATCCCACCTCATCGACCACTATATACGGTTGAAGCTTGGTTTTGGTGAGGAGCCTTAGTATCCTACGGGGATCACTCTTCAATTCAGATATGGTTTGACATGACCTAAATCTTAGGTTGCGTGTCGGTACTACAACATAAAGCTATTAGAGTGATGTCTATGTATGATAGACAGCGAGGTTGTGGGATATTTTATTCCTCTGCTTTATCATCCAAATTTCAGATAAATAGCTGTCTAGGAGGGTTAGGGCTAAGTCTATATGAATTTCATACATAAGACACAAATATTCTACCTCCCCCCCGTGGTATTAAAACTAGCTAAATCTAATAACAGACCCTCTCTGTAGAAAGCAAACTAGAACCTTGACACTCATTTTCAGGGCTGAGGGTCGAGTGGCGAGGGTCACCCGGGGGTTCATGGCGGGGGTCTAAGGAATTACCCATTTTCTTAGCGTGCGGAGATGAACCACAGCAACATAAATAACCACAAGCCCCACCACGCCAGTAAATCTTTTCCCACCCTTCCTATAACACTTGCCATAGTTTTTGGTTGACTGAGGTGCCTCATCCCATCTGTTGCTGAAACGAGATTTGCTTGGCCATTTCCACGCACACCTCTTTCTACTCTATCTGCCGTCCGTTCGTCCAAGCAGTGGTTCTATAGATTTCAATCTGGAGAATCTACACAGAGAGCCTTCACCTGATTAAGGAGGTCGTCATCTCGGTTTTCGATTTTCTTAGGCTTGCCCATTTGTGACCGTCATGCCCCGCGGCCCTATTGAGCGATTGCGTGCTTATCAAGCCTGTCAGAACTGCAGGTCAGTAATTACATTTGCGCATATTCGGAACCAGTGATGGAGCCTCACATTGAAAAGAAAGAAAAAAATACGATGTCCTTCGGAAAAGCCAGCCTGTTCAAGCTGTACACGGCTCAATCAGACTTGCATTTATGATGTGCCACGCTCATCTGTATGGCGATATGTCATGCCCCATTGCAAAAGAATCCTTCTTCTGAAATACTGATACTTGAAAAGGACCGATTGGCCGATCTCGAAACCAAAGTGGACCTCATTTTGAGCGCCACAGAGCAGCGGGATGACTCTGGCAGCATTGATGAAGACCTGGCTCACGAGTGGGCTCATGATGTACCCAATGCACAGGCCATCACCTCATCTACCTATTCCATCTTGGGTGCCCCAAATTCCTCTCTGAAGCCTTTTTGCTCTCCTCAACCTGAACTTCAAATCCCAATACGTGACAATTCCGGCTCTGCCTTTACTCACGGCCTAGATGTTTACTTCCAGCGAGTTCATCGGCAACCTATCTGGTGTTTTGATCGCCAGGACCTTGGGTGCATCACTCAACTATCTGAAGAACTGAGGTATAGTATTTTAGAACTAACTGCACGGTTCTCACACGACCATGACCCACAGCGCTATGGTGAAAGTGCAAGGCGGTCGATCATGCTGCGCATCGCAAATGACAAAGTTGGGCTCGAAACTATTGAGAGCCTCTGTCTACTTGCATACTCTGCTTTTTTAGGTAAAATATCTGCGTCAGCTTTATTTCCCGGACTGGTTTTAACGCCGTGCAGATGGAAACATGCAGCTTGGCCAGTTTTATCTCGGCCTTGGCTTTCAACTCTGCCGGTCTGCAAAGTTGGACCCTTCCTCGAGGCTGATGGGAAGCCCTATCACAGAGCGCGAGAAGAGGCTTTTCTGGAGCCTTCAATCCCTGGAACAATTCTATGGTGACCAGGGTGGAGTTCTCAGACAGACACCAGAGGTTTGGCGTCCGTATTATCTTTCGCATAGCAACGATGTAGAGTTCCCTAGTGAACCAGACGGGGGTTCCACAGTTTCGGATGTTGGAATTTGGAGTTTTTCGGTGCATTTTGGATGGGTCTGGAGCAGAGTGAGGGAGTATGTCTTCGATTGTTCCCAGAAAAAATTAACTGAACCCTGGCGCCTCGATTCGGTCTACGCTAAAGTGCTTTCTGATCTGACAGAGATCGAAAACAAAGTCCCTTTGCATCATCGATACGATGTAGTTAGGTTTTTTGAGCGTCGACCAGATGAAGTCAACTTGAACAAGGATTATTGGCTGCCCTGGCTGAAACTTCAGTTTACTTGGCACTCAATAATGACGATGATCAACCACCCCTTTTTATATATCACAGCATCGCAACATCATCCGAACCTAACAATTCCAAACACTTTTTGGCGCAAGTCTTCAGAGCTGGTTCTTCTCCACGCCACCTGGATTGCTCGCACCATCGATATGGCTCAAGAGAAGAAACTTCAGCTTCTAGATCCTTTCTTCGCACACGCAGCTGCAATAGCCGCCACAGTGCATCTCTACTTTGGCTGTACAGCCGACTCCAGACTTAGGAAAAAGTCAAAAACCGATTTTGAAAAATGCCAAAAATTTCTGCAAGGCTTTTCTAGCTTTTCCCCTGCCTGTGAGAGCCTGGTCTGTTTTTGTCCTTCATTATCTCCCTCCAATTACAGAGTGATGTCAGTACTAATAAAGTCAGGGTCAATTACTCGATGAATTGAGTCGGATAGCGTCGCAATCGGACCCTATTGACTATGAGTGGATGCCGTCTAGAAGACAGATCAATATCCCATTGATGTGGGCAGTTTTAAAATTCGACATCTCCAGATCACAAGCTCTCCGTAGCACTGTTCTTGCCAACTCCCCTAATACTCCTAGCAATGCCGTTGATGAATTGGAGCGGAACCAAGCCCTGGAGATCAGCGTTACAGCAACAACAACTGGAGTTACGATAAACCCGGCTCTAGGTCATGACTCACAATTGCCACCATATCAAGCCGGCCCGATCTCACCAGAATTCCGTAGCGACAATGCTTCGCCAGATATTGTGATTCCATCCGCCGAGAGATTCCTGTTACATTCACCCTGGCTGTGGGCGCAACTTTCTCAATTCACTCATATGGAGGATGGGGATGATTTCCTTCCAGATTCACCCTCAAATACTCTTTCTAATGGTTTTTCTTCCTGGTGGAATATGGGCAATTTGTAAAGGATATGCAGAATTTGCACCTCATATGCCGTGTGTTGGGTTCATTATCACTATCATAACTCTCTTTTGTGTTAGACTGGAACTATGTATATCGTGTGGTATTCGCCTTAGGTCTTTTGGGCACAAAATCTCATTACAAGCTATACCATCCTCCACGGCTATCCAGACAAGTTCCAATCCGATGTTGGATCCAATCCCGTCTATCAATTTCACCCCAGTATGGGGAAGGCTAGAACGTCTCAGGGGAAATTCAATGGCAGTAATTTGGAAAATGTCAGATAACGTCATTTGTTGGACCTTAAGTTTACCACTCAAATCCTCAGACCCAAATTCTATTTACATCATGGCCTATCCTCTGCCCTCTCTTGGGATATAATTTCCCCTACAGGAAGCTAGCACTAGACACAAAGAAGGAATAATTCCCAAATCACAGAAAGAGCAGATAAAGATAGTCACATCTTCAGGTCAGATCCAGAAACTAGAGAGCTCTGTGCACCAATAATCGTGTGGAGGGCGAAATTGCCTTACTAGTTGAGGTTACCCATTGGGCCTAGATTGCATGAAGACCTTGTTCGGCGGGGACGGATATCATGACCGACAGCACTTCCTCCGTGTGACAATTTTGTGCCAGGGATTTCGGGAGTGGAGACGAATCCATAATGCCAAATTTAGCCTATCGCATCCAATACCAATGACATGTTCTCAAAGTTCTTGAGAGTATGGAAATGATATCCATGTACCCGGTCACATGATCGGGTGGCTGTCCGAATCGGGCGATTATTGCCAGTACCGAGTCTATGGGGAGCCTTCATGTGTACAGTGTCATTATCGTACCCTTTTTTTTTTTTTTTTTTTTGGTTTTTTTTGGGCCCCCCGGTAAGATGTCTTTGACAACTTAGCCAAGAACCACGTTTCAATGACAATTGCGAAGTGAGAATTTGTCCTAGGCCACGCCATAACCCACGGGCTGATAGGTCGGGCCTGAAGTTATGGATTAGATATAGATTTAGATTTTAAATCCAGTGTCTAAAGCCGTCCCCATTTTCGTATCCTAATATCGATATGGGGGTGAAGTAAATAAAATGCCCTTGGTTTCCTCCCAAATGAGGTGATTGATTTCCTTTCCGCATTCATTTTCACTGCACTTGAAGCCCAAGTGCTGATTCTTCTGTTACGTCTTCTTTCTGACCTAAGTACGAACTTGATTTTTTGTTTATTTTTCTTTTTCTTTTTCCTCCTTTTTATCAACTAAAAAGGTAATGCACCTCAAACGTAGCTTCAACACTGTCGGCGTTCACTGTGCCGGCGAAACTTGCGATGTAGTCGTCGGAGGCGTTCGAGATGTGCCTGGGAAAACCATGTATGAGAAGATGATGTACATGTGGAAGACCAACGACGAACTCCGGAACCTTCTACTCAACGAACCTCGGGGCTGCTCTGCCATGTGTCACAATCTTCTTCTCCCGCCCTGCAATCCTGAAGCCGACATCGGATTCATCATTATGGAGCATGAAGAATACCCACCTATGTCGGGAGCCAACACCGTCGCCACGACTACATGCCTCCTCGAGACTGGGATCATTCCCATGCAAGAGCCAGAAACAATCGTGAAGCTAGATGCGCCGGCTGGCCTCGTCACCGTATATGCCGAGTGCAGCAATGGCAAATGCAAAAGTGTCCGATTCCACAATGTCCCGGCCTTTGTCTTTGCCCTTGATAAGGAGATCTCAGTCCCCGGACTCGGTACTATCGAGGTTGATCTTGTGTATAGCGGGATGATCTTCGTTCTGGTGGATGCTGCTTCTGTGGGGATCAAGATCAAGAGTTCTCAAGGAGGCCATATCGTCGAAGTTGGCGAACGCATCAAGCGGGCTGTAGCAGAGCAGACAGACCCGTTTCACCCGGAAAACCCAGATATCCGCGGAGCCACCATTCTGGAATTTACAGATCCTGTTACAGACTATAAAGACGGGAAAGCTTCTCTGAACACGGTCGTCGTATCCCCTGGACGACTGGATCGGAGTCCCTGCGGCACTGGCACTTGCGCCCGGCTTGCGGTTCTCCATGCTAGAGGACAATTAGCGGATGGCGAGCCTCTTTACCATTATGGTATTACTGGGACGGAGTTTATCGGCCGGATTCATGGCACCACAAAAGTCGGAGATTATGATGCTGTTTATCCTTCTGTGACTGGCAGTGCTTGGATTACGAGCTTCAAACAGGTTGTTTTGGATGCGACGGATCCATTCCCAGAAGGGTTGCGGGTTGGAGACGTGTGGAAAATGGACGCTGAGGAAAGAGGAGTCTGACTTTGGAAGTTAGTCCTGGGTCGATAGCTCAATGCAAGTCTCGCTAAGACGAGAAAGGTCTTCTAGCATTCATTTTAAAAAAATCACATATAAATTTCAAAGCAACCCCAGACTCAAATCTGGCCTCATATGAGCATATGTGAAGTGGTAATTCCCGGTTTGCACGGCAGAACGATAGTGGCCCATACAGGAACATAGTTGATACCAGACCTCTCGCGCTACCAAGCCGTCGAGTATATCTCATGAAATGAGAAATTCCTCCATCTACACATGGTCAGATTATGACGCCGAGTGCGTCTTACAAAGTGATATGCAAACCTATATGAGAAAGCAGTCTACACGAAAGTTTGTATTCTGTATAATCAGCCGTAGATTCTTCTTTTTATCTAACATACGTCCAGTCTCACTTTGATTTGCAAGCTATTAATACTACTTCAACAATTTGAATGGTTACTTGATGTTTTCACGCAGATTATTGTAGTAAGTCTCCGTTTGCGTACAAAAGTAACATACGTTATTGGAAATAAATACTTCAGGATTTAGTGAAAATGCCCCCGCAAGCACCCTTACCACATCGTACCAGCGTGCTCTTAACCCTTAGGTATGCTTGAATGCCTTGCAGCCCATTTTCCACTCCCATGCCGCTCATCTTCCAGCCACCTACAGGCATCGCTGCGGGGCTTTCACCCCACGTGTTGATCCAGCATATACCTGCATCCAGTCGCTGAACAACCCGTTGAGCAAGTCCCATATCAGACGAAGCGACACCTGCAGCAAGACCCATGGGAGTGTTGTTTGCCCGTCGTATCAGATCACGTAGCCAATCCTCTTCCGCCTGATGTTGGGTTTCATATGGCAGAATGCTCATAACCGGGCCAAAGATCTCCTCTTGGACAATGCGCATGTCGTCTGTGCAGTCGGTAAAAATGACAGGAGGCACCCAGAAGCCTTCTTCCGAGGGAAAGTCTTTCTGGCCATCGATGCCACCATCATACAACACTCTCGCTCTATCATTCTCCCGCCCATGCTTGATATACATATTCACCTTTTCTCGATGGACATCGCTAACGACCGGGCCAAAATTGGTTTTCAGGTCCGTTGGAAGTCCCATACGGATCCCCTCCCGACATCGCTTGATCAAGGCCTCTTCCAACTGGCTAAGAAGCGTGTCAGGCACGAAGACCCGGGTTCCATTTGTACAAACCTGGCCGGTGGAAAAGAAGTTGGCCATCATCGCAATATCAGCTGCCTCCTCGATATCGGCATCCGGAAGTACTAGGAGGGGGCTTTTCCCGCCAAGTTCCATTGTAATCCCCCTTAGCCTCTTTGCCGCCTCGCTAGCAACCTTACTGCCGGTGCTGACCTGGCCAGTAAAGCTCACTTTGGCGATGCCTTCATGAGCAACCAATGGGGCCCCCACGCTGGGCCCATCGCCGTAAACAACATTAAACACTCCTGGTGGTAGTCCAGCTTCCATATAGATCTGAGCGAGGATGTTTGCATGGAGAGGGGTGACTTCACTTGGCTTATATACCATGCAACTCCCCGCAGCTAGACAGGGAGCTGACTTCCAGAGAGCGATCTGAAGAGGATAATTCCAGGCGCCGATTCCAGCACAGACGCCGATAGGCTCATGGCTCGTCGAGAAGTATCCATCGGGTCCCAAGGATGCGTGTTGTCCTGGGAGACCACCTGAAACAAGATGGGCATAGTACTCAAGAACATCAGCGCCGGTCTGAACGTCAACCGTGGACGTCTCCGACCAGGCCTTCCCAGTATCCATAGTCTCAGTAAGCGCTAATTCGTCATTCCGCTCTCTGAGAATTGCTGCGGCTCGCAACAAGATAGCAGCTCGATCCAATGCCGGGGTCTGCGACCATGATGGAAAGGCGGCTTGAGCAGATGCAATAGCGTCATCAAGTTGCTGGGACGTGGTGGTATGGATGGTAGCCAAATGTCTTGCAGTGCTGGGGTCGACGGTATCAAATGTGAATTCCGTCGAGGTTTCAGGTTGTGGCCGACCTGAGTGAAATGTATGGATCTCGCGCTCGAATGCCGTCGTCATTATGGTTAAATGCAATTGAACGTGAGGCCAGTTAAAGCCTTTTTAGGTGTTGATGATACTTCCTAGTTGAAGGACTTTTCCCAAGGTCTGCCCAGTGGAGACTCGCCAGCAGAATAGTGAAGACTACGAGAGATCTCACTCAGATGTGAGGACGTGGGTTCTGAAAGAGGTACGTGGGTAGCGTCTTACCATGATGCATTAGATAATTTTATTATAGATAGGATGAAGAACCCGATAATCACGGAGTACGGGCCGTCCTCACAAGTGATATCATTCAGTTTCGGATTAGCATGTTCATGATAGCCTGGCTTTTCTCCCCATAGACTATTAGGGTAAATGCACGCGGTTTGCAAATTGACCACCCGATCACGGGATCGGGCGGGGACAAAGTAACCCTCAGAAACCTGTTCAACGAATTATCCTCAGTGCCAAGGCATCTATGTAGCAAGAAGATAAATACGGCTGTGAATCATGCCCCAGGACTGATCTCAATTCATTAAAAGACCCAGTCCATTCCCAAAGCAAGTTACTCATCAACTCTACTGCTCTGAAAGTCTCTACATAGAACCAAGCATAGACGACCTCCAACATCCACAATGGCGAAAGATTACGGTGTAATTGGTAAGTGTTCGATAAAATGAAATAAGATGCCACCAGGTCTAACTTCCATTAGGTCTGGGTATCATCGGGTACGGCATGGCCAGCAACCTGCGCAAGAAGCTGCCAGCCTCCGAAACCCTCTATGTGTTCGATATCAACCAAGACATCATTCAGCGCTTAATCAAAGAGTTTGGGCACTATGGCAAGATCGAAGTCGCGTCCTCGGCGAAGGAGCTCGCTTCTAAGGTTGGAACGTTGCTGTCAAGTCTGCCTGCAGGCCCCCATGTAAGGAATGTCTATCTGGACCCAGAAAACGGTGTGATTGCGGCCACCAAAGACTCAGATCGACTCTTAATAGAATGCAGTACTATTGAGATTGAATCCACCCAGGAACTGGGAAAGACAATCATGGATGCCGGATTAGGTACGTTTGTTGATGCCACGGTCTCTGGTGGAATGTGGGGCGCAAACGCAGGAACCTTGTCCTTCATGGTTGGTTATGCAAAGCCCACAGAAACCGATGTTATGGGGAACCGTGTCTTTGAGACATTGTCACTTGTCGGGGTGCCAGACACGATCACATTCTGTGGTGGGCTTGGTATGGGACAGGTTGCCAAAATTGCCCATAACTATATCACTCTAGCGAATAACCTGGTTGCTACTGAGGGTATGGCCATTGGCCTGAAGTATGGAATCGATAAAGATGCCCTCTTCAAATGCATTAGAGAAGGTACTGCAAACTCGTGGGTCATGGGTCTGGAGCAACCAGTTCCTGGCCTGGTACCTGAGGCTCCATCCAGCAACAACTACAAGAGGGCATTTGCCCCTGCGCTAAGTGTGAAAGATCTCACTATCGGCATCGCTGCCGCAAAGAAAGTAGGAATCAATCCAACTGCAGGTGAAGCGGCTATCACAGCTTTCCGAAAGGTCGATGCCGATCCCCGTACACATGTGAGTCTAGTCACGTCTTAAATGAGATTCTCGACATGCTAGGGAGAGTAGCTAACATTATTCGAATTAGGACCTTGACCATACTTCTCTGTGGCTTCATGTTTATGGTAACTTGGATGAGTGGGCGAAGGAACACGCTTAGAGGTCGACGAAGGAGGGGGATAAGACATTGAGCATTTGTGCAAAGTCCACAACAGTGCTGCCTACAGTGGATTGAGATTATCGCCAGGTAGCCTTAGCTTTCACAGATTTTTAGATACGATATGATCAGTTTTCATAGATTTCCACTTTTCATTTCCTTTCTTATTTTCAATAGATCAATAATCCCAGCCTGAATCAACATTCCAATTAACTCACAAAAGCCATTATATAGACCAGTGAGCCCCTGAAGGTGTACCGCCCACCTCAGCTCCTTCCACTTTGACAGCCTTCCTATTCTTTGACGTTCGATGCAGACGATAACTTTCGTCGGACATGGTTAGATTTAGGATGAATCAACTATCTGCTTCATACCTCGTTTCCTTGAATAAAACGTATTCTTTCGGCCGGAACAGAAGGGCATAGGACGAGAATCATCGCAATACATTATGCCAATTAAACTAAGGCACCATATCCAAAACTACAACCAAAACCAACTAACCCCCAATTGGCGGTATAACCCACTAGATCCCAATGCAATTCCCGAAAAAGGTCATCTACCGGTCTCACATAAATTACTCGAATGACCATGCGGGAACTGCCAAGAGTAGGTTGTTTTAAAGTGAAACACCAATGGTCCAAGCACTTCCGAACAACCTGTATAAATAAATCCACCATATACTCGGCAATTCCCAAGCGATCCTCGCTTACAACTTGAAACTACGCAATCCAAAGAGAATAAGGAAAAAGAACCATGAAAATCCAAACCGCTACCACATTCCTCCTCCCAGCCCTCGCCTTGGCATCAACCAACACCAAGCGAACCGACACATGGGGCGGGAGCGTATCTCTCGGCCCCACAAAGTCGACGATCACGAATGCCGTGACGACTCTGATTCCCGGTGCGGCGCCGGCGACCCAGAACGGGGTGCTTTTTCTCTGGCCTGGGATGAGTAACGGGACGGGAGATCTGGTGCAGACTACGCTGGAAAGCTGGGCGAGTAATGAGTGGTGTGGTGCTCAGTCGGGTGAATGGTGTGTTAGGGCTAGTTTATTTGGGAGCTTTGGGCAGTTGGATGGGGATGCATCGCTTGTTAAGGGTGATGATCAGGTGCGGATTGAGTATTCGTTGTTGGAGGATGAGGATACTTGGCTGCAGTATGTCTATTTCTTTCTTTCTTTTCTTTTTTTCAACTTTCTGTGTGTATAGTTAGGTGTGGGTATTGGAGATAGTGGCTAATGATATCTAGGAACGTGACCAACGCACAAACGGGAGAAGTTCTCTCCACCTTCTCATACAAATCTGGTCCTTACATGACCGGGTAAGTTGTTCTCCGTCCTCCCCCTTCACCATTATAAATCATAAAAATCTAACCAAACCAGCTACGGAACCGGCACAGAATGCAACGAAGATTGCACCGGCACCATCGCCGCCCAGAAATACCTCAACACGAAGATCACCCTCGCAGAAGCAGACGAGACCTTCGGAGACACGATTTCATCAGCCGGCGGAGCAACTTACTCCGGGTTGACATCTAGTGAAGGTGGAAAGGTCTGGGAAATAGAGAGTATCGATGTTCCCGCCATGTCGTCGTAGAGAAGATGCATGTGTCGGAGATAAATCACGGGAGTGGTTGTGGTCTCAGTCAGCCCTAACATTCCAGTCCAGGGGTTACATTCCGGTGGAGCTTAAAAGGACTTCAGTGCAACCTTTCAATTAAGGCACTATCGGAAATGATTTCCAGGGGTATTATATATACTACTACTATGTACCTTTTTATTGGTATCTTGTGTAACACGTGCTTTTGATGTAGGTTGTGACTTGCTGATTCCAAATTTTTAACTTCTATCTTTGGCACGCATTATGATCTCGACTTGTAGTTCTATGACGTGATTTGCTGGAATGTGGAGTCTACAAGTTTTCAATGTCAATGACATTCCACTTTAAAAATTTAGATTAAAATTCTGCACGATCTAAACTTTGAACTAGTACTATATCTCATTATGCTTGTCATCACTATCTTAGACATTATCCGTATACAAACGAAGAAGCATATACAAACTGAAGACTATCTATAAGAAAAGAAGAGAAAAGAATAGAAAACTCACTGAAAAACAAAAAATGCCGAGAGACAAACAATCATAGAGTAAAGAAAAGAAAAGAAATTATCCCAAAAAAAAAAAAAAAATCCTCATCTCATGCAAACCCACTGCAGCCCTAACACTTGTAATCAATATACCACCCAGTCTCAGCCCCCTGCTCCAAAAAGACCTCACTGTCCTTATCCAACCGGGCCCTGAAGACCATCTCCTCACCACACTGCACAGTTCCCACAGTGTGGGTATGGGGACCCTCAACACCCGGCCAATTGGTGAAATCCGCGGCCCCGACACTCTCCCCTTCAGCCTTATCGCCCTGCCACACTCTCACCAAAGCATTTTGGCCGGCCTTGAAATTGCGCTCGGCTGGCACGCCCCACATCAGCGTGCAGGTCTTAGCGTCCTTAGGCCCAGAGAACGTCATCGTCTGGTCCCATTCTGCGGTGGCGGATTTGGAGATGTTAAGGTTTGGAGTGGAGATCGGGTCCGAGGAGGGGAGGAGGTAGGTTTGCATCTTGGGCTGGTAGATTTGGCCCGGCGTGCAGGTTGAGGGCTTATCGTCGGGACAGCTGCCTTCGCGGCCGCAGGGGTCGATGGAGCAGCAGCCGCGGAATTTGGGTTCGTTGCAGACATAGTAGGCCTTTCCGGAGGGGCATTCGCCGTTGTCGCGGGTGGTGAGGGGGGAGGAATATGAGGTGGTTGGGAGGGCGGTGGTTAGGCTCAGGAGGGCAGCGAGGGTGGTGCCCAGTGTTATTTTGTGGAAATGCATTGTGATCTGATTAATGGACTGTAAATAAATTGAGGTGTGTAAAATTATAATATATTAAGAATTGTGGTTGTAGAAGATGTACTGCTAACCGTGTGGTGGTGGTGCGGTTGAGTCAATGGATGTGAGGATGATGGAAAGAATAATTCTCCTGAACGGGCAGATCAGGACGATATATTTATATTTCAAGATCAGAGATTAGATAAATTAATAGCGCAGTGGATCTGAAGGAATCACCGGGCCAAAAAAGAAAAAAAAAAAAAAAAAAAAAACAATAATTCCCAGAGCAACCACAAAGGGCCAAAAGTCTAAAGATAGACGCAAGGCGCAAGGGATCCTGAACCCTTAGCCCTTAGACCCCCTCCCCCCGAAACTCACTGTGAGCCGAAGAAATCTGGGGAAGCTTCGGAAAAGAGGGCAGTTAAGGTGAGGCTGATCGTCGGGTTGGCATCTTCACCATTGGATCTTTACCTCCGATTCTGTGGAGCCGCCAAGTCGACTAACAACTGGCGGTCTAGGGCTGTGCACAAAAAGTCACACACAATGCATGGTTCTAAGCCTCCTGCATTTTGGACCGATATGACATTTGGGCGCACACAAGCTACCGGGCTGATGCTGCTGTGTGATGCTGCGATGTGATCTTGTTGGCCCGATCTCGGGTCCCCACTGGGTTCCGGCTTTGTCTGCCTCTTAGTCCCACGGTGAGATGCATTAGGCATACTGTTACTCCCTTTATTGGTCCCTTCGGTAATGGAAACACAGAAGAACCACTGCCACCGCCATAATTCCATGCAACCATGGTTCCACCTCCAATCGGGGTCATCAGGTCTCAAAACAACAAAGAACCAGGATACCAATTCTGACGGCAGGTTTGGCTTGGCATATCCCTACTGCCCGTGCATTATTACTATCTTTAGTCTGACAGCAAAAGGCTGGGGACAGATATGAAAGCGTGATATGGCCAAGTCAGGATTAACTACATGGCTGTGCACTGAGTCAGCCTATCAAAAGCCCTCCGGCGGCTGACATCGACTATAGCGTGTAGGGCTCGGCAGTCGGCCTGATCAATGAATATACGATGTCAGGTGGGCCTGACAGCGTCAATATCGACAGCAGATACACGCTTGTCCCAATGCAACTGTATTCTGTCTAATTTTGGGATTCACTAGAGATGTAGCCATGCTACGTTGGCGAATGTTCCCCAAGCTCTCAAGGCGTACCAGCTCAAGAACATAATCAATGGCGACCGGGAAATACTCGGGATGTTAGTCTTGGCTCTTAGGGGGCTGGTTCAGTGAGGTTGGGGGCGATATTGGCGTAGAAACTATAGCAGGGAGACAGGAATAAATTCGCGTCCTTATCAATCATAAATACATTATGTCAAAATTTATAGTCGTATCACGCTATCATTAAGAGTCGTAATCATATGAAGTACAAGGAAATGAAACAGGAAATGTATCGCATCTATTCCTCCGGCCGCCCAATATCAATCGCAAACCGCGTCCCTTCCCACCATCCCAGACCAAACATTAACCCATTGAAAACTCCCCGTTTCACCAACTCGGTATCGTCGCACCATTCTGATCCAGGCGGGATCACGTCCGACTTCAGCATTTCGGAGCCGGCCAACAACGTCGCAGCCCCAGCGATGCTACATGGGTTCACCGGAATCACCTCCCTCTGACGCACCAGGTAGAATGCTACCAGAATACAGAGAGTCATGGCGGCCAGAAACCCTTCGAGGATCCGAGTAGAAACCGCACTTTGCTTGAGACGGACACGCGTTGGATCGACAACCGTCCCCTGGTAGCTCGCCTCCTTCTCTAACGGCAGTCGGGAGTTTCCGTTCATGCTTTGAGCCATAAGAACACGATAGAGATGCTGTGTGGCATCGATCACGGCAGGTAACCGGTCCACCTGTTCAAGATCCGTAACGGTCAAAGTCTTCTGATCTTGCATCATGGCGGTGAAGACGTTATCAAATCCATCGTACGCAGAGAGCGCGTTACTCGTGGGTAAGAATAAATCAAAGTCTAACTGTGATGCAAGGCTGTCGGCGAACCGCCGACGTGAGGACTCGTCCGGCGTGGCTGACTGGATCTTGTACCCCGGAACGGTGAATGTTGTATCCACATCGACTTCATCAACGTACGGGAAACATGTGAACCCACGTATGCCGTCGGTGTCGGTGGAATTAGGATTGCTCATTGTCCCGTATAGCCCCACTAACTTCGGACACTCTGGCTTTTCATTTATTATATCTGTAACCTGAAACGTGCCAAAGGTAGTGCCGTTGTAAGTTGTGGAGTTCACTGGGAGAGTCATCGTGAAATACTCGATCTTAGTCTTGTTGTCCAGTTTCCGGCTAGTAGTCCAACATTCACCCCCGAGAGACAAGGACACTGACATCATGGAAGCAAGTGTGTATGAATTTGTTTCCAAAATCTGGCTCGCCTCAAGGGCTGTACAGTTGAGACCAGCACGGAGAGCAGGGAATGTCAGTTCAAGAGTGCTGTCAGTAGTAGAGCTCTGGTTTGTGGGCTTATATGTGGTATCATCTTTCACATCCGTGAGCGTATTTTCATTGAGAACCGGAAGTACTACTTCATCATACGTCCAGTCTGGATATGAGAGATTGGCCCCAACGACAAGAGCTCCGGTAAGGCCTATCCCTTTCTGTCCTGAGTGGTAAGCTTGAGGATCCACGGTTGAGTTAAATGAGTCGTTTCTCATGATAGACACTGCCCGCACATAGCTAGCAGCTTCGGTAGAATACAAACCGCTCGCGGCGATTGTCAAACAAGGTGCCAGAATCATAGTCAGTGCAGTAGTGAAAATTGCATACTTTCTTTTAACTAATGCACTCCAAAGGGCATGCATTGTGAGTTTCGACAGGTAATTGTCCATCAAGCCTTCCTGTGCTGTCAACCCGCCTCGCCTCAGCTCCAAGTAGGGCTGGACAACCTGAGTGGAGAAGTGGTTGCATTCGAAAAGAGCCTGTATCAACAGCATTATAAATGCAGGGATATATACCCAGGTGTAGCGAATATAACCATCGGATGTGATATCAGCCAAGCCATTTCGTTTCTGGGAGATCTGGTAGGCGGTCTCTAGGCCCGCAATGACAAGAAGGGGGACAGCCAAAGTAAGGATTCGCCAACCCAACGACATTGCGAGAGGTTTCCACCAGGATATCTGGCTAGACGCTTCGGCAGCACGAAAGTCCTCTTTCGCATCATGCTGGGTGACGATACTAAAGCTTCGTTGGCCGTCAATGTTGGCAATCTCCGAGGTGAATAGACCGCCAGCCAGCGATGATTTCATATCCGGTCTATTCTTAATACCAGAAAGTCGACGAGATATGTCAGGGCTTCGGGCCAATATCGTTGCCATACCAGAGATTGTGCCAGGGTCTCGAGGGGTGCATTTGGCCGGTCTCCACACCCACATCGCCCCCGCCACCAAAACCAAAAGCGCCGACGCGGCTTCCATGAGTCGAACTGACAATTCTCTTACAAGAAGCATCTCTGTGGATGCCGAATATACGCCACTGAATGGCTTATTCGCAGGGTTCATGAGGTATTCTCTTGCTAACTGTGCAGTGATTGCATTATAAACTGGACGAGATATAGCCTCCAAGTGCGCCGCGTCCAGTAAGGGCTCAAAATTGTCCGCAGATGAAACAGTAGCAATTCGGTAAAAGGGGTCGAGATAGTTATTATCCGGGTCGG